TAAAGCCAGCCATCAAAAATGAAAGGAAAAACAAATCCAGACATTAATGTAGGCAGGCAAAGGCAGGCTGGGAGCAGGAAAGCAGATCCCAGTTTCATCTAACTAAACAGGACAATCTGTGGATAAGAGCAACCAGAGAAATGGTACAGCAAAAAAAAAAAGGGCAAAGGAAATGAAGGATAACACATTCCAAGCCCACAAAAGAGGGGAGGAAGGAGCAGAATTCCCCAAGGCTGAATGGCCAGGAGAGAAGAGACATGGGAATGAGGTGGGAGACAATTTGAGGAAGAAAATGAGGGCTGATTGCTCTGAACACCAATGATGTAAATCAGGAGGACAACAGACTGCTCTGGGGTCTGCCTTTGTCCAGGAAAAGGTTGGTAAAAGCTGGGACAAGAGCAGTTGTGGTGGAATGTTAAAAGGAGAGGTCAGTTGTGGTGGAATGTCAAAAGGAGAGGTTGAACTGCTAGAAAAAAGGAGAGACCCAGACAATTTTACAGTGGATTCAGTGAGCTTGGGGCTGCAGGGAGGGATGAGCAGCAAACAGGCAGGTTGTGTTTAATTTACTTTGTGTGAGATTGTGGCACAGGGACACCAGGGGGAATAGTCAGGGGGAAAGGAACAGAGAGGTCGGGAGATTGGACAATGTCAGCGATTATTGGCAATATTGGTGACTCCCTTATTTTGGGGTCACCAAAATAAGCTGAGGGTCAGAAGAAAGTCATAAATTAAAACTCCTCAGTCCCTGAAACCCGAAGGACATTGGAGAAGTAAGATAAAAGCATAAAAAGAGAAGTCAAGACAAGGGAATGGGGAGGGTGGAGTGAAAGCTCCATAACTCTAACAGAGCCGAGTGCTGCTTCCCTAATTCCCTCTGCAGTTTCCCTCCATGCCAGGCTGTGCCTTGCACATTCACAGCCTCCCATACTGGGCTGTGTCCTGAAGAACTTGCAAATAGAGTATTTTAAAAACACAGAGCCCTCGGTGAAGTGTCTGCTGCCACACCAAGTGATCCGCACCATTGTTCAGCTGTAATTAAACTGCAGGCACATTATTTGCTCAAACACTACTGTTTAATTTTATCTTTTTGCTCCAGAAGGTGTTTTCCATTTTCCCATCGTTGTGCCGTGAATAGACAATGCCTAACCAATTTCCAGGAAGCAGTCTTTTCTTTTTTTTTTCTTTTTATTATTATTATTTTTTAAAGTGAAAGGCAGATGCTGGGAAGAACAAATTAGTTCAAGTGTAAAGGTTTCCACAATCCCTCTGAGAGCCATTCCAGCCTGATGCCTTGGGACTGTTAAAACCTCTCTCCAAACAAAGGCTGCTGTGAGTGTAAATCTCATTATCATACAACAGCCCTGCTTGACCTGCCTTTGCTCCTCGGTGAAGTGATTGAAATGTAGACAAGCTCCAGCAGTAAAAGTAAATTTACATTAGTCTGACAGGCCAGAATCTGAATCACTGCAACAGTTTTGCAAAGGGAATTTCACACCACCAAACCCTCAGTCTGAACTGACTTGAAGCCACTCTGAGCCAATTCTTTGGTTTCCAGAAACTGGAAGAATCCAGACAGAAGTTGGAGCACATCCCCGCTGGGAAGGGGCTGTGGATTCAGGAGAGGGCTCTGATCAGGACTTCACTGCAACAGCCTTTCTTTTATGAGTGTAAATAAACACAAATCCTTGCCCTGGAGCAGATCTACCAATGACTTGTTTTTCCAGGGCGGATTTCATAATTCCACGTTGAGCTGACATGGTTTTGACAAATAACAAGCCACTGCAAGGTTCACTGGGAGCTATAAAATACCCTTTTCAGTTGCCACTTGAGCCTTCCCTGAACCCCAGGGCTGGTGGCAGCCTGAATGAAACAAATGCCCTTTCCTTGTAGTGTAGAAATTCCCGTATGTTTAGGAACCCTAAAGAGTCTTCCTGGATAAAACTACTGAAAAGGGGACATTAAGCAACAAATACTCCCCACCAGGGAGCCTCATGTCCTATCTGCAATCCTGTCTTGCACACCCCACTCAGTAGAAAGGGAGATTACACTGAGGTTTTGCCATGACCAGGTAGATCCCTGAAAAAGAACCAACAAGATCCCTCTTTGAGGGTGATTTGTAAATCCTGGAGCTGGGGAATGGCCCCAGTCTTGCTCTCAGGAGGGTCTTTTCAGGAGCATCATTACAGACCAAGGAGTTTTTGCAACATGTTGTTCAGTGTAGCTTTGGAACCAGGGAAAATGATGGAAGGGTTTGGGTGGGAAGGAACCTTAAAACTCATCTTGTTCCAATCTCCTGCCCTGGGCAGGGACACCTTCCACTATTCCAGGTTGCTCCAAGATCCATCCAACCTGGCCTTGGACACTTCCAGGGATCCAGGGGCAGCCACAGCTTCTCTGGGCAACCTGTGCCAGGGCCTTCCCACCCTCCCAGCCAGGAATCCCTTCCCAATCTCCCATCTCTCCCTGCCCCCTGGCAGTGGGAAGCCATTCCCTGTGTCCTGTCCTCCATCCCTTGTCCCAAGTCCCTCCCAAGCTCTCCTACAGGCCCCCCTGAAGTACTGAAAGGCCACAATAAGGTCATTCCAGAGCTTTCTCTTCTCTGGGCTGAACACTCAGCCTGGAGAACACCTGGACATGGAAAATTACAGGAGCTGTTTCTTCTTCCTGAGCACAGATTGCTTGGAAATTAGGTTGTTAGGGTAAAACAAAAAAGGCAGTTTCTGGGAATATTCCTGCCTGTGCAGGTTTCTGCTCAAACTCTCCAAGACAAAGTGAAAGCAACAGAAACCAGCCCTCATTTCCTTTGTGCTTCTTTTCCCAGGTTGGTGACTACCACATTCCCTACAGAGCATCCCCTCTCCCAGCAGTTTTGGGAAGTGCAGGAAGAGCTGGTATCCACCCCCTTCAGAGGTATGACACAAGGGACAGGCTCACAAGGGCTCATTTTCACTCTCACAGCTCAGGGGAAAACCCAAAGCTTCAGTGAAATCTAAATAAGAGCTGAGCCACCGGCTGCTGGATTGAGGATTTGTTTTGGTCGTGCTGGCTTAGGTTTCATAGGATCCAATAAAGATGCAAATTTCCCAAACAATTAAATATCCAGGCCATGATGGAGCTGCATCCAAGCATATTTGCCAATTAACCCCCCCTCCTTGTCTCCAAGCAGTGGGCTGGGCAGGCTCCCAGCAGAACGGGTGTGAAATGGTGGGAATGGGGGTCGGGGGCTGGCTGAGGGATTTGTCACCAGAGTCCCAGTTCTGTACTTCATATTTAGCTCAACTAAGAGTCCCTCCTCCCTCTGCTCTCTGAGGAAAAGCAGACTCACTATTCGAGTTTCCAAACCTGCTTGCAAAAAGCCACTGTCACCTTTGATCCAAGGACACATTTGTGCTGATTGGATTGTCAAAAAAATATTTTAAGCTCGTGTCTGTCGGAATGTGGGTCAGCCTTTGTGAGATGGGTACATTTGGATTTGATTTATGGGGTTAATGAATCATTAATAGATGTTGTGGGGATAAGTAATCCACATTTTAGATGCCTACAAGCAATCCATTAACCTGCTGGACTTCTGCAGCCTGTAGGAATTAACCATTTGTTGAAATTGTTGAAATACAAATGAGCCTTTTCACTGCTTCTTTAACATATGGCTGAACACTGCTCCTCACAGGGAAGGGTATTTGCAAGGAAGGAGAAAGACACCTCCTGACTACCAAGTCCCAGATTCCTGGGATCCTTTCCATGACTCTGGGGCACTAATTCAAACTAATTCACACCCATATTTAAACTGGAGGTGACCGGTTGCCTCACCTGTGGCTTGCAGTGATCACCCTTTGAATTGTGAGATGTGATATCCTTGCAAAGGACAATTCACCTGAACATATTTTTGCTTGCCCACTATCACAGAATCCCAGAATGGTTTGGGTTGGAAGGGACTTTAAAGATCATCCCATCCCACTGCCTGCCATGGGCAGGGTCACCTTCCACTATCCCAGCTTGCTCCAAGCCCTGTCCAACCGGGCCTGGAACACTTCCAGGGATCCAGGGGCAGCCACAGCTTCTCTGGGCAAGCTGTGCCAGGGCCTCCTCCCCCTCCCAGCCAACAATTCCTTCCCAATATCCCAAATAACCTTGCCCTGTGGCAGCGAGAAGCCATTCCTGTCCTGTCCCTCCATCCCTTGTCCTAAGTCCCTCCCCAGCTCTCCTGGAGCACCTTTAGGCACTGGAAGGGGCTCCAAGGTCCCTTTTCCAGGCTTAAGAGCCCCATCTCTCTCAGCCAGCCAGTTTTCAATTCCCATTAGCTGACACACTGAAATTCTCTCTCAAAAATGCTTTTTTCTTAGCCCTGCATTTGACAGAACGTGCTTTACAAGATCACAGTCACCAGTAAACCCCAGCCACAAGATTCCTTTAGTCAAAGGCTGCAAATATCTTCAGAACAAACATCTGTAGTTGTGAGGCTGCACCTCCAGGGCTGGGGGCAGTTCTGGGCCCCTCAGACAAGAGAGACATGGAGGGGTTGGAGATTGTCCAGGGAAGGGAATGGAGCTGGAGAAGGGGCTGGAGCAGCAAAAGAGTCTGAGAGAGCTGGGGGGGCTCAGCCTGGAGAAAAGGAGGCTCAGGGGGGACCTTCTGGTTCTCTGCAACTCCCTGACAGGAGGGGGGAGCCGAGGGAAGTTGGGCTCTGCTCCCAGGGAACATGGGGCAGGATGAGAGGGAACGGCCTCAAGTTGCACCAGGCAAGGTTTAGATTGGATACTGGGAACAATTCCTTCATGGAAAGGGTGGTCAGGCATTGGAAGGGGCTGCCCTTGGAAGGGGCAGTGGTGGCGCTTGAGGACACGGCTTAGTGCTGACCGTGGTGGTGCTGCAGGTTGACCGACGGACTCGACGCTCTTAAAGGTCTTTTCCAACCTTAACAATCCCGTGATTCCTACAGGGGCTGCCGAAGCAGCAGCTGGGCTTTGCAGCCCCCTCTCTGTCCCCCCGGCGCAGCCACTCACGTCTGGCATGATCTCGATCTTCTCGTAGCGGCGCTTGTAGGGCAGGGTGAGCACCTCGGCGCGGCGGTAGGACATGGCCGGGGGCTGGCAGTCCACCATCAGGTCCGTGCGGTGCGACTGGGTGGGCGGGGGCTGCGTGTACTGCTCCGGGCACACCACGTGCAGGGGCTGCAAAACAGGAGGAGCCGTGTCCTTTTGGCATCAGTAGTTGCCATAAGGAGAGAAAAAAAATGAGAAGCTCGAGTAGCTTTTTCTTCCAAATCCTTTGTCGTCTACGCTGGGAAGTAAATGGCTGTAGTGGTGAAGGCCATCCCAAAATTGTCATGGAGATGTGTTAACATGCAAGGGAGGGCACTTGGTGTGTTCAGCTGTAGAAGAGGAGACTGAGGGGAGACCTCACTGCAGTTACAGCTTCCTCGGGAGGCAAAGAGGAGGGGCGGGCCCTGAGCTCTGTGGGGACCAGTGACAGGACCAAGGGAATGGACTGGAGTTGTGCCAGGGCAGGTTTAGGTTGGATCTCAGGGAAAGGTTCTTCCCCCAGAGGGTGGTTGGGCACTGAACAGGCTCCCCAGGGCAGTGGGCACAGCACCAAGGCTGCCAGAGCTCAAGGAGCATTTGGATGATACTCTGGGGCACAGGGTGTGACTCTTGGGGTTGGACTTGATGATCCTTGAGGGTCCCTTCCAGCTCAGCATATCCTGTGGGTCTGTGAAAAACATCAGCACAACAAGCAGCTCTTTGAGCTTTCATGACCTGTCAGAGATATGTTGACAGAGCAGAACCAGGCTGGTGGCCCCAAGGATCACTGCAGGATTTAAGGAAGGCAAAGGAGAAGACAAGTGATTCTGCAAAGTGTTTTGGAGACGGCATAACACACCAGGAAAAACATGGGAGAAGATGCTTATCCAAAAGCAGGCTGTGGCAATTCTATCAGTTGTGCAGTGACAAGGCAGAACAATGAGAGAAAATGATCCAGGAGGTTTGGAAGAATATGTGTGAAGTATCTCTGAGTTCAACAAGCTGAGGGCAAAACACAGGGAAAAACTCAGCCAGAAAAAAAATCTGGGTATTACTTTAATTATGTCATGAGTCAGAAAGCAAATTTCAGTAGAAACAAGTGAGATGGACAAGGAGAGGCCACTAAAGCCCAAAAGAGTCAAGGGGGGAATGCAGAGACTCCAAGAACCCTCTGGCCTTTTTCCCAGACCTTTCCCAAAGGAGAGCTCAATGCTCTGTGATGTCTCATGGAAAAAAAAAAGGTGGTGTCCTGATTTTTGTTTAATGTATCAGTTGTTCACAGTTGATTTATTTATTACAAGTGTGTGAAGAAACATAGGAAAAGGCAAGAGAAAAACCCTTACCTGGACTTCTTTGAGTAATTTAGACACCTGAATAAAATTGAGCCTTGTGTCAATGGGACAGTAAACACATTTCATTGCCAAGGGCTGATACGGAGCCAGAGCATCCAGGTAAGAGAAATCAGGCTCTGGAAAGAGAAATGTTGGAAACACTGAATGTTTATTAACAACAAACATGGCCCAATCCCTCTTGGATTCCACATTCAGGAATTAAAGGAGCTGTTGTTCAGCAATGTTAATTCTGTTACACATCTCTCTTCCCTTCCTCCTCCCCTCACCCATTATTTTCAATTAATTTGATGAAAATTACGCCCACAATTAGTCTTCCCTTAATCAAGCAACAGAGCAACACTATTCCATTTGAACATGTTACTGCATGATTTTTAAAGCAAATTTAATCATGACAAAAACACCACCTCTTCTTTTTAATCAGATCCTGTAAAAGAAGGCAAGATGTGTCATTTTGGGTCTCATAAGGTAACCCAAATGGCAGCCTGGTTTTCACTATGATAAAAATGCAGCATAAAGATCATATTGTTGTGTATATATATATATATATATATATATATATATATATCTTCTTCTGAATCTAAGTGCCAGGTTTAGACTGGTGGAAAAGCAAAGGGCCTTTCATTACTGACTTTTAAAAATCAGATGAGAGGTTTGCCAGGGAAAAGTCATGCACTGAATGGGCTCTTACTCACACAGAGAGAAATAAAACATTGACAATATTACAGAAAAAGACAATTTTTTTGGGGTGGATGACAAATGCAGATCTCAGGTGACCCCGTGTAGGGTACATGTAACCTCTTGATTCTGGGGGTCACCAACTAATGATGTGGAAATGCTTATGCCAGCACCATCTACCTGATAATTGTGGGATAGAGGACACAAAGGGAATGCTGGAGAAAGGCAAACTGGTATTAGCTTGATAAGGACAGAATGGGAAAAAGGGAAAGGGATGCATGAAAGCCTTATCTGCTGGATTATCCTGAACCAAAGGACACCCTGCAGGGTGAAGTGCAGTTCAAGCCTTGCTGGAGGCTTTTCTCTGGTACCTGCTCAGGCTGTGAAAGGAGGAACTTAAAGGAGACTGAAATTCAGAGACTTCACTCTGGATTTAACCAGATGTTCTTCCATCACCCTGAGCAGAGCACGGGGCTGGATTTCTCCTGGAGACAGCAAGGGAAAATCTTCAAATTTCAGCACCCAGCAGGACATCCAACATAAAGACAAGTTAATTGCTCTCCCAAAAATCTGCTGCTGGCTGAGCACCAGTGAGTGATGGGAGGATATTTACCCTGGGAGAGCAGAATATGGAGCCAGCCAAGGATACAGGAGTTTGGAGCTGTTAAAGGGATCATTTTCCCAGATTTAAAGCAATTGTCTGGGAACATTAAAGTGAGAAATATTAACGAGGACATCTTACAAGATGCCCCAAAAGCCATGAATCCACAAACATGAAATACAAATTGTGCTGGGCAAAAAGCCACGTTAGTTAAAAGCAGATGTGGTGGTGGCAGTGAAACAAAGCCTAAAAATATCCATGTAAAAATGGCATTTAGTGTCAGTTAAATTTAATAGCAGTGAGCAGAAGTTTAAAAATAGGAATACTGGGAAGGTAGCTAGTTGAAGAATGATCAGTGATCAATTAGGGTTAAATCAGAAGACATTTTAAAAGTCATAAGGGGAAAACAAAGTTTAAGTCAGGTCGAGCTCCTCCGTTAGAGATGTGACATGAAACAGAAAAAAGTAAGTTAAAAAAGTTATCAGAAGGAAGTTTTTCCATCCCATCTGAGGAGATTTGAGGCAGCACCTGCTCAGATTGAGTATTTCTGAGTCAGAGGCTCAGATAATGCACAGACATGGATTTTTGATCCTGCAATCCCAAACGGCTTCCAGCCCATAGTGTGTCTCTAGGAATGTAAGAGCCTTGGAAAAGTGAGAAATTCTAACAAGGGAATTCTAACACAGGACTTGGAAAATCTTCACATGTGAAAAACGTAACTTGAGCTGGTCTCAGCTCCTGTGACCCACAGGAACTGCTGTTCTGAAACCACCACAAATCCAAAGTCACCCGTCCGATGGCAAACTGTGCTTGTCAAGGACACACAGTGACTCTTCCTGACAGAATCACAGTTTTTTTCCCCAAGACTCCTGATTCACTGCTGTGTTGACACCGAGTTATAAAACCTTCCCCTGCACAGCACTGATGTGCCATGAGCTGGTTTAAGATGTCCAAGGGAGTTGGTTTTTAAGGCACTGCTGTGACTAGAGCAAGAAGCAGCTTCTTTGTACCGTGTCTCCTTCCAGAATTTCTTTGTGGCTCAGTGGTGTTCAATATTTTTAATCAATAATCTCCTCAATACTGCTCCAGCAGGGATGTTTGCAATGACAGGAGCCAGCAGAGCAGCACCACAGCTCACTCACAGCTGGGGTCCTGCTGCTGCTGCTTTAATCCATATTCTTGTAGTTGTTTTTTACATCACAGATTGGAAAGGTGGAGACTACCTGGCTCCTGTGGACTGAACAAGCAGTGTCATCGTTAACAATGCTGGATGGCCTGTAGTTTAAAGGTCTTAATTATTAGAAACCAGCTGAAATGTCATCTGCTCTCACAACTGCTTCAGTGGTTCTTTCATAACCACAGATTTTAGCTTAAACCAGAAAAATAATAAAATAATAAATTAACATTAATTTAGTATTAATGTAATTTTATTGGGTATCAATGCTTCAGATTTTCACTGGAGTTACCAAGAACAGAAGAATTTAATCTGCTGGGAATTTCTACAGACATAGATCACAGAATATTTTAGGTTGGAAAAAACCTCTAAGGTCACTGGGTCCAGCTGCCAAGCCCACCACTAAACCACGTGGTTTTGTTCCAGCTGAGGCATCTTTTCTTGAGGGAAGCCAAAAGTCTTTAAAACTGAGGTTGCAGAAGTAGTTTAATTTGGGTAAACTGGAAGAAAGGGACAATTTCTACTTCAAATATTAAATGGAAAAAGTAGGACTAGGAGTAGAGAGTCAGAAGGAAGTAGGAACATCCTGCCCAGTGGATGTGCCTCCAGACAGAGACAAAAGCCACGGACAGATGAATTTAGGAAACGAACCACCCGGAATCGCTGTGCACTCCAAGGTCACCCTATCAAAGCAGCTCTCAACTGGTGCTTTATTTGAAGTATAAAGTGGGAAAAAAATCTCCCAAGACCATGACCTGATGCACCCACGGGTTGTTAGGACTGACATTCCAATGCCTTTAACAACCTGCCAGGCTCTGACAGAAGTGCTCGACCGCCTCGATCCACAGAGGATTAGGATTTAATACAGAAAGGTCAACTGCCTCTTCCCTTCAAGAAGACACAGAATGAGAGTTCCTGCCATTAAAGGCCAGTTTCTGACACCCTGGGCAGCACACTCAGAACATGATTAATGCCACTGATTCCCCAGGGATTCATGAAGTGCACACCCCAGCAAAGGCTCTGCACACTCGGAATGGAAGTTCCAGCCAGAGCAGAATTCACTATTTCCAAGACAATGCAGATCTATTTTGCAATTTTACCAATTACAGTAATTAGGGCTTGTCTCCTGAACTACCTCCAGGGTCAGGAGGGATGGCATTGCAGCAGCTGTGGGACCACACAACATTTCAGCACAAACAGAGTCTACATTGAAGTGCCCAGCAGGAGCCCCCTCAAATCTCCCCTCCCCTTGCACAGGGCTAATTATACACTTTTAATCTCCCCAAATTGGTTCAGCAGTATCATGATATTGTGACACTTTTTGGTGTCAATATTATGAAAGACTTAAAGGGACTTGCTTAAAGAAGTTAGAAGGAAGGAAATAACCCTTTCCCAGCCCTCTTTGCTTTAGGACATTTTGTGCTTTCCAGCAGTTTTCCTATTCACTAAAAAGAGAAGGAAAAGAAGCTTAACAGCAGGACTCCATCCCACCCTTGCTGTGGGAGTAGTTTGATCCATTACTCAGGATTCTCCTCCCCATCACTCTGTCCAAGTCCCAAATCCACACCTTTCTTACCTGGATAAGTTAAATATAACACACCTCCCATCACACCAGAGCTGGTTAGACACAAAATCAGTAGCAACAGCCTAAAGGATTATTATTTGCCTTCTCAGATCTGAAGAATTCCCACTGTGGGTCCTGTTTGGATGACACACCAGGTATAAATACACCTGGACATCAGTTTGAGGGAAGGCCTGGAAGTATTTTTGAGCAGGGCCAGCACTAGAAGCAGACTGAGGGAAGTGGAGGAACTTCAAAGACCTGTTGTGCTTCTGAGGCGTTGGGAAAAAACAGCTGCCAAGGCATCAGCCAGAGCTGCACCTTCAGCTTCAGCTACAGAGGTGTCTGCCAGCCAAAAAGCATCCAAGGAAAAGCTCAACCAAAAGGGAGGAACAGCCCAGACCCCACTGCCAGGTCTGTGTGGGGGGCACACTTCTGAAGCAGCAGAGACGACAGAAACCTCTCCAGAAACACTCTCTGGTTGCCTGAGGTTTTGATGAAAGGGCAGGAGAAGGGAGGAGGAAAGGTTTGTGGTTCCAGTGGAATATGGAAAAGAAGTGTTTCTCTTTCCTGACGAGCATCAATTAGGTCTTGCCTGGGTTTAACTTGCAGCCAGCTGCTTTTAATTCAAAACTTCATTTCCTGTAGGCATTTTACTGCTGAGCAGAACAAAGCTCTTGCTCAGACGTGGCAGGAACGGGCTCTTGCAAGGCAAAGGTTGGCTCTGCAGGGCCACAGAGAATTAAATGGCACAATAATTACATTTGGCCCTAAGGTCAGTCCTGGGGTCTTAATTTAGATAAGCTGCTGCTGAAGTCAGAAACTTCTGCCCCAGAATAAATGAGTAAAGCCCCAGGGATGTGGCCACACTTAACCAGAGAGCACAACCTACTGTTAATTTGATAATGAGATCAGCATTTTACTTACCTGTGAAGATGACAGTGTTCAAGCTGGATTTTCCCCACAACTCCATGAAATGCACCACGTCCCCAAACCTCAGAGAGGGATGCCCAGTGAACACAACACAGGGCTGCTTGAAGTCATTGCTAAAGTCCCCATGGATGCTGGGATAATGCTTCAATTTGTTTGTCTGAATGAGCTGAAATAAAAACAAAAACCCAGACATGACCAGCTTTTCAGGCCTGTGTGCTTCAGTGTGTTTATTTACATGAGATTACAAATATCCTACAGTTTATTTCTAACTCGATCACAGAGTCCTTTCCTGCATATCCCTTCCATTTTCCAACAAATTCGGTCATGACTGTCCTAAATGTTATGAAAAGGAAGTCAGAGCATGGGGCCAGGTGCCTCCAAGTCCTTGCTCTCATTTCTTTGGTACCAGCAGTTGGTGACTGAGAGGAAACTCTGCAAACACTCCCTTGCTTAGAGTTTCCTGGAGTGAACAGAGAGCTCAGCTGCCAAATTCAAAATAAGCTGCTTTCTCCTCTTTGCCATGCCTGCAAAGAGCTCCAGGCACATGTTTAACCTGCTTTTCTTCCATCCCAGCAGTACCAGGCACTTGTGCCTTCAGCAGAATGTTGCCACGAGCTTTGCTGGTCTAAAGGGTTCCCACAAAGTCAAATCTGCTGAAAAAGAACAGACTGACTTGCCCTTCCTTAACTATCTCTGAAAATAGTGATAAAAATGAATTAGGAGCAATAAGATGTCTAGCAAACAGTGCAATCAGCTCTGCAGGTGGAACAGATTTCTTTACTGAGATGGAGTTTATTTATCAAGGCACTTTTCAAAGAGTTTTGCTTTATTTCTCCTGCCACTGTTTTCTAATCTGCAAAACAAGCTGCAACTTAAAAGCAATTTAATAAACCAGACTGGGAAGCACTTTCAGGCAATATTTGGAAGTTTTTTTCTCGGTAGGTTTATGCTTCCATCTCCAGCTGGAAAATAAGTGTAAATACAGTTTTCTTAAAAGGCATGTAATTTAACACAGGAAATCACACACTGAGCAACTGAGAACAGACACAGAGATAAAGAGTGGGAACGAGGGGAATGGGGCTTCCTTTGGGAGCCAGTGTTTAAAGGAGGTTGGACTGGTCATGGAATCCCAGAATGGTTTGGGTTGGAAATGCTGGAAAGGACCTTAAAAAGCTCATCCAGTTCCACCCCCTGCCATGGGCAGGGACACCTTCCACTGTCCCAGGTTGCTCCAAGCCCCGTCCAACCTGGCCTTGGACATTTCCAGGGCTGGGGAGTCCACACCCTCTCTGGGCAACCCGTGCCAGGGCCTCCCCACCCTCCCAGCCAAGAATTCCTTCCCAATATCCCACCTAAACACTCCCTCCTTCAGCTTAAGGCCATTTCCTCTTGTTCTGTGTTATTTTTTACCATGGCAGACCTAACTCAGGATAATGTGCTTACTTGGAAATGAAGAGAAACTGAGAATTCTGATGATTCTCTAAGTCTCTTATCTTCTGTGTTATTTTTTACCATGGCAGACCTAACTCAGGATAATGTGCCTACTTGGAAATGAAGAGAAACTGAGAATTCTGATGATTCTCTAAGTCTCTTATCAACTTATGCACTCCAGAACTTATGGTTATCACACAATTCTCTGCAGGTGGACACAGCCTGTGATCTCCATGGGTCATGGAGGATGTAGAAAGGGGACTATACTTCACTACAGTTTACAAGTAATAGCTAATTCCTATTTAAACTTCAAGAGGGAGATTGGAAAAAAACCATCCAGCAACTGCTCTGGCAGTTGATATGCACTGAATCTCAAAAACATTCCTGCAATTAAGGCTGGTAAAGATTTCTGATTAACACATCTGGCAGGCAGGATTTAGAATCTAAACTTAGCTTCAGTAACACAAACTGCAGTTTAGCAGACAATGGGCCAACTGAATTTGAATCCATAAAATCCTGGCATTTAAATGAACTTGTGAGAAATGACCCCAAGAAGCTTTTCCGTGGTTTGGTTGGATTTTTTGGGGGGAAGACAAAAGTCTTTAAACTGCAGTTGCAAAAGTAGTTTAATTTGGGTAAACTGGAAGAAGGGGACAATTTGTACTTCAAATATTAAATGGGATATGTGACATTCCAGGGCAAAACTTTGCCAGGGACAGGCAGACAGTGAAGTGAAAGACATTTCTACAGCTACTATTTATGTAACACACTCCTGATAATCACAAAGTGTTCTTCCTCTTTCACAGGCTCCTTCAAATGATATATATTTGTGTGCAGCATTCAAATCTTTGTGAAGATGTGAGAGCAGCACTCCATGTACAAAAGCACTGAACAGCTTATTTCCCTGCTGTACCTACACAAATGTTCACTGCTTAGCAACATAAAAGCTGGATTCTCTTCAAAGAATTATGGAAGCTTCAAATTCCCTCCTATTACTTTGGAAGAGAGACACAGGGTCTCTAATCCACTTTTCACGGCCTCACTGGTGATGATTTTTTTTTTTCTTTATCTTTTCTTTTTACCTTGAAAGATCTTTCCTGAGAAGTCCAGTGAAGCTCCATAGTTTAGCTCCCAATCTCTGGCTCTCACAGGTAGACAGAGCAGGGGTGAAAGGCTGCAAAACCAACTTTGGAGACATTCTGTCCACTGCAGTGATAAAGCAGCTGGTGGATTTTAGTGCCTACAGCAAAGCCTTCCCTAATTACCCCATCCAAAAAATATGAGGCTGAAATGCAGGACAGGCCCAACAAAATTTCACAAATCATTAAAGGGACTGAATCTGTAATGATTTGTACTGTTTTTTTTTTCTCTGTGCAGATGAGCTGGGGTGTGTAAGCACAACAGCCACGGTCAGATCTCCAACCTGGGCCAAAAGCAATGCCTGGCATTGAGCCAGCCAGGATTTCCACAAGCTGGAAAGCAGGAGCAACACTCAGAGCATCTCTGCACAGAAAGAACCACTGCTGACTGAGAGCTTAAGAGACAGAGGCTGGTAAAGCACTGAAGCAAGACTGAGAGCTGTGTTTTTTCTGAAAATCCCAAATGGTTCTGCTTCCCTTTAAAGCTGTGGGCTTGATTTACAGGGTCAGCAACTGCTGCTATAAACAGGATAAATCTCCAGAGCCTTTGTGTACCCTTTGTTGAAGTGAGCCAAAACACACTGCTATTTACTCTGTGTGTGTGTGTGTGTGTGTGTGTGCTCTGGAGCCAGAATTTGGAACAAATGTGGTTCCTATCAGGGAATGATACGTTTATTATTTCACCTCCCTCACTCCCTCCATAAAATCAACACTAACAGGGGCCTAATTCTATCAGAGAATATCCAGAGTGGGAAGGGACCCACAAGGATCATTGAGTCCAACTCCTCTATAATAATTATTCATATTACAATTCTCTATAGAACTATAAACCAAACTATAATACTATACAATCACCTGATTCCAGGTATTTACTGAAATGTGTGTTACACAGGAACTGGTAGATGGGGGAGGGAACCAAAGCTGAAGAAGAAAAATGCTGGTATTTAAGACCACAGAATCAATATTACTCCCACTCTGGCTCATCTTTGAGTCAGAAAAAAAAGGATTTTTTGTAGCCATTTCTCTTAGATGTTGCTCACAGAATCCTTAATAAGAGCACAGTAAATCCAAATTCTTCCTCCACTGGCAAATACTGATCAATATAAATTACCTCTCAAATTTTATTGTTGCAGACATTTACAGAAGTCTGGAGTCACTTATCTCAGTGCCTGAAATTGTCCGTGGAAAGATCGACCAGAGAGGAAAAGGAGTTGAAAGCTCCTCATTTTGCCTTGCTGGAACAATTCAGCCATTAATGTACAAAGTCAAAAAAGGATGTTATGAAGTCAAAAAATCCATGGTTCCTGGTAAAATGGTCAGGGGGATGGCTAATTCCTCAGCTGTGCCTGTGTTGGGATGGGACATTCCCAGGTGGAATTTGATAAAAAAACCACAAGTTGGTTCTGGAATACCACAATAACATTTCTAAACAGAACAAATTACTGATTTATGGTCCAGAGCATTTCACCAAGGAATTGTGGAGCTGAAATCTGAGCCTATTTAGACAGTGGATCCTTGGATATAACTGATACAGAGGTTTGGAAGTGAAAGCCTCCCTGCCCCCCCCAACCTGCTGTATCCACAAACATTTGGGATCTCCAGTTTTTAACTTTGCAACATTTTCCCAGTTTGAGCTCCTTCTCCTCCTTTCCCCATCCCAGTAACTGCTGGTGAAAAACTGAATTTCCACTTCTGTTCCAGCACAGGGGAGAGCCACCCACAGAGCCACCCATCCCTTCCCTAACCATTCCTCCACTCTCCTGCTTTTCCTCCTGGGAAATGTCTGGCTGGAATGCACAGGAGTCTTGACCCATATCTTAAGTCCCTCCAACACAGTCACAGCAACTCTTCCCTCAGAAATGCCTTTAAAAAGAAGCTTTCTTTGGTTTGTGCACTGCTAAAAGGCTGCAGGTGGGACTTCACCAGCTTGTGTGCAAGAATCTGGACACTCCATTCATACCAATTTCAGCAGGAATTGATATCCAAATCCATCCCTACAAACCTGAAGCACTTTAACCCACGTGCCTCGCTCAGAGGGAAAGTATATTTATTCCCTCTTCATTCAGACTGGATGTTGGGAAACAAATTTCCACCTCAAAAACTGCACCAGTGACTGTGTAGGAGGAGATGGATGAGCACCTACTACTACAGTAAAGTGGCACTAACAAGGAGGGAGAAGTGTTTTGGGTCCTCTGCAGAGCTGAACACGTGTGCTGGTTTTATTCAGCACAGCAGAACAAGGAATGAGCTCAAAACATGCAAGAGAAACCATAAACCTGGAAAATTTCCACGCGAAGAGAAGGAAAAAGCTTCAAACAACTCAGTGGGGAGAGGGAGGAGAAATAAAAATAGTAATTGTAGAGACAATGAAGATGCTTTTATTTATCCTCTTGTGACAATAATAAAGGGGTAGTTAAGTGAAATGCCAAATACAATCCCAGCTGATTAAAGGAAGCAATTATTCTGTTATAATACACTGGAACTCATTGCTGCAAGAGACCACAACAAGGATTTGGGGGAATTTTTGCCTTGTTTGCTTTTAAATCTTGCTGTTTATACAACTAAGCAGGAACATCAAATTTCAGGATCAGCATTGCACTGGGCTGGGCTTGTTCTGGAGATAATTAGAAACTTATTTCCTGGCCTGTCCCTCTCTGATGTATCATGCCAGGCATGTTATTAATGCTTCCTAAGAACTAAGAGACATGTCTGAGTAATTCCCTATTTTCCTCCAACAACTGAGCAGTTAAAGCACATCTTTTCATGATGGGCAATTTCTGTGCAGGTTACACTGCACAACCCACCATTACTTTGAGAAAAGTAAAGCAATTCCCCACTAACAACCTGTCCAGTAGAAACCATCACTCACTGTCTGCTTCTCGTGCTCATTAAAAACCCCCTGAAGTGCCAGTAAGCAAAAGCTCCTGACTGGGAGGTTGTGGAGCCACAGGAAAAGTGGTTATATAGATGTTTTATATCCTGTGAGGTACACACACAGTGTCAGCTGCAAGATTTTGCAGATTTAACAAGGAATCCAAGGCATGTGCTGAGCACTGGGGCCCTGACATGGACATCTTGTGGATGGTCCCTGGAACAGGCACGTCCCTGAGCTGATCTGTGATCCCCTGCTGGGAGGCCTTTCCTGCATAATCACCTTGATCTCCACCTGAAGCACAGAGCAGTTTTTGCAAAGCTGCTTCAACAGCCACACAATAATTTGGCAAAATCTCATCATCAACAGGCCTCTGGAGAATATAAAACACCCTAAGAATGAGAGGACACCGTTATCACTCTATAATCACAAAGGCCCATCATAGAAGATGGGTTAATTAATCCAGTCTGTGACAGCTGCATGTTTGGCTTCTCTTTTTTTTGATGGGTTCTCACTTCAATCTGCCCGTTCCAGAGCATATTGTGAACTAGAATATGGGCTGTCAGTGAAAGCAACGACACTGTGGAACATCAAGGACACCCCAGAAAGCAGAGACGGAGGGGAGGAGAGTCTTGTACTCAGGGATCAGCCTTTGGAATTGATATATCAGTGGGAATAAATTTTTTTTGGTTAGAAAATAAGTGGTGAGCAGGTGGCTTGCCCTGCAGTCCACATTATTTCTGGTAACAGATTATACATAATTCACTGCACATCCTGCTTGAAATACGTTCAAGCATCTGGAAAGAGTGAGGGCTCCTGGTCAGATCCTGCTTCCAACAATGCCTTTGAAGCACCTACAGATGATAGATGTGATGGGTAATGGCAATTTCCAGAACAAATCCCTGGATGACACATTTTCAGATGGAAAAAAAACCCCAAACACGTCTGTAAAAGGATTTAATTTCTGGGCTCTTAAATCTGCAGTGACCACCCTGGATATCTCATGAAACAGTTTGGACCACAGCAACTAGAAGAGACAGTTTTCTGCACGCCTCAAATGGAGGAGGATTTAGCTAAAATTATTTCTCAGTCCTGTTTCTTCTTTTCCCAACCTGCCTCTCGTTTCCTTCAGAGGGAAAACCGCCTGTTCCCAGTGGAGAATTTCCTTCCTTGATACGTGAGATACCTCTGAAGGCACGAGCTCCTCCACATTTATTTAATGTCTGGTTGGCTAAAACCTCCCCTCAAATTCTTATTTTGTTGCAGGGAAGATCCTCCAAAGCCAGGAACCTCATTCCTCTTTGCTTCACTGCGATGCTCAAGTAATTCCATTTAAAATTGCCAGTGACAGCACCCAGTGCTGCAAGCTTGAACTTTTTATATAGAAACTCTCTTCCAAGGTACCACTTCTCCTGCAGCAAACAGGGTGCCTGTTCCAGGGAGGCAGGAGCTGGGATGACTAAACTGTCTCTGGTGACAAGTTCTTAGTTTTAGACTTTGGAATGAACTGCTTGGACACTGGGAATACTTGTGGTTGCAGTGGGATAAGAGCAAACACCCAACCATGTGTACATGGATCACATTCTGAGGGGAATGTGAGATACTGTGTGTGAGATACTGAAATAAAGATGGGAATTTTGGAGTTGAGGGAACACCATCATTCCTTCCTCCCCCACGCTCCCAAATTCATCACAGAAAGAAAAGGAAAAAGAAAACCACTTGTGTGAATAATGACACAAAACTTAAGGAGCTGTACAAGGGTTCACCCAAAAAACAACAGCCACACAGGACTGTGATCCAGAAACTAAACAAGACCATGGTTTACTTACCTCAGCATGGGGAAAAGGAGGTTCTGGAAGATACACCTTTGTTTGTTTGTTATGACACAACCTGTAAAAGCAAAGGAAACCAGCTGGGTTAGAGGTGCAGAACATCCTGCAGCATCTGCTGCCATCTACTGACACACTTTTTTTTTTGGAGAAAACCACGTTGGATTTCTGGCATCAGGTGCAAAATCACTGATTTGTTTTGTTGCTTCCAGTCTTTCTAGTTAGAGGATCAACACCCACATGGAACAACAACTCAATCACAGTGAGATCACGCAGAGAAGGTGCAAGACAGCTGAAGGTAATTCTGTACACACTGTAACAGATCCTTTGCTGCTGAAGGCAAATCTGTAACTCAACATGCCCATTTCCCAGTCCAGACCTCAGCAGTTTTTGCAAAGCCAAATCATCTGTCAACAGAAAAATTCCACTTGCCTCATCCCACTTCTCATCGGTGACTTGGTCCTTTTGTTCCTTGTAAACTCATTCTCCTGTGTATTTTGTTTTTGTAGCTGCAGTGTCAGTAAAATGCCTCTCACCACGGCCCAACACTCACAGGGACCTGCTATTTTACATCATTTATCTTTAAAACACAGATATTGAGAGCTGTTGATGAGCTCTATCCAGGCTCCTGATTCATCCTATTACAGAAGCTAAAGGAAGTTGTTTGTCAGAGGTCTGGGTGACAATTATCTGCAGTGACAATGTCCTAGTGGCTTTTTCTGGGAAACACTGCCTGCCTCATACTTTCACTTTATTAAAAAGCAATCAGCCTGGGTCAAACTCATTTTGATAAAGTCTAGGAGGTATTAAGAGCAGGACATTTTCTTCAGCTGACTAAAGGGTAGAACTGGAGGCTGGAATCCCTGAATATCAATCCCAGCTCTGCCCCCAAACCTCTGTTTTACAGATGGTTTTATCTCTGCCTCCATTCCACGTAAATTCACCAGATTTCAATCCTCTTTACAATTCTCCTGAGGGATCAAATCACACGGGATTTCCAGGGCCTCCAGACTTAAAATATCTGGAGAGGAAGAAAGAAAGGAAAAGCTACCTAACCCTAATAATCTAGAGCATGTCTCCATTTGTAAAAATTTGGAAAGAGTTCCAGGTGGTTGGGCTCTCCTCTCCAAGGCTCAGAATCACAGAATGGTTGAGGTTGGAAGGGATCTCTTGGGATCCAGTCCAAACCCCTGCTCAAGCATTCCCACATACAACAGGTCATCCAGGACCGTGTCCAGTTGGGTTTTGGTGTCTCCATAGAAAACTCTCCATGCCCTCTCTGCACAACCTGTTCCAGTGTTCCACAGAATCACAGAATCATGGAATGGTTTGGGTTGGAAGGGGCCTTGAAGCTCATCTTTTTTCAACCTCCTGCCATGGGCAGGGACACCTTCCACTATTCCAGGTTGCTCCAACCTGGCCTTGGACACTTCCAGGGATGGGGCAGCCACAGCTGCTCTGGGCAACCTGTGCCAGGGTCTCACCATCCTTTTAGTAAAGAATTCCTTCCCAATATCCCATCTGACCCTGCCCTCTGGCAGTTTATGCCATCACCCTGTTGGAATTTCATGTTTCAGTTTGTGCCTCTTGTTCTGTCAGTGGGCCCTGCTGAGGAGAGTCTGATCCCTCATCCTTACCTCTTCCCATCAGGTGTTTCTACACATAGAAAAGATTCCCCTGGGCCTTCTGCTCTCCAGGCTCCTCACCTCTGTGGCCCTGTGCTGGCCTTACTCCAGTAATCCCATATTCTTCCTGTACTGGAGACAGAACACTCTCCATGTGGCCTCAGCAGGGCTGAGCAGAGGAAGATCCCTTCTCCTGACCCAAGTGCTCTGCCTCATCCAGCCCAGGATACTCCTGCCCTTTTTTTTTTTTCCATGAAAATACATTGCTGGCTAAGCAAAATTACACCTGAAAAATCTATTTTGCTTATCTAGGGACACCATGGTAGAGTTTTGAGGGAGTAAAACACAGAAGCAGGGACAGCTAAAACTCCCTCAAGTCAGGAACATCATTTAATCATCAGCACAAGTACCAAAAAGCAGAGATTATTTCAGTTTGTACATTCTATAGGAAATGATCCTTCCCTAATTATAGAACATCTACTTACACCCACACCCACACCCCCCTGTGACTCCAGAAACGCCTCCACAATTCTAATCAAGTGTAAATTAGAACATGTCAGGCAGAGAGAACAATTTCTCAGGGCTGAGGGTGAGAACTGGGGCTGGTGGAGCAGCCCCTGGACACCTACCACTCGGCAAAGATCTGGGAGAACTCCAGGGAGCTGTTGGCAACAGGTGAGATGAAATAAAAAGGGACATTGGAGAGCCCTGCAGAGTCAATGTACTGGTACAGGCACTCCAGCAGGTCGTAGATCACTCCAGAGGGATAACAGGGAACCAGCACGTTCCCTCCGTTCCGGACAGTCATCGCTGCGGGGGAGCAAAATGACAGAAATCAATTACCAGGGTTCAAATTTAAACTTTTGAATACTTTAATCCAGCTGTTACATAAAAAGAAGCATGAATTAGCAGAGCACGTTGTGAACTGAGATGAACACTTCTGATCGTTAATTACATTTATTTACTGCCTCCTCCAGGTTTAGATCTCCATCTACAGCCTGAGCACATGGAAAACTCCCGACAGGAGAGGGCGGCCTTGCACAGGCACAGGAGGATAAATGAGGGACACAAACCACCTCCCCACCCAAATATTTGCTATCCAGCTCTTTGCTGTCCACCAGAGCGGAAGGACAGCAGCTCACAGGTCTCAGCCAAAAGCACAACACGTGGGGAACTGTTCTGTGCTCTGTTTTCAGCTGAAAGGCTGAAGATGTGGTTATTTCAAACAGAAACGGGTGATGGAGTGTTTCCCCTTTTTAAAAACTAAACATTTCCGTCCTTTCCACGTAACAAGAACAATTTAAAACTTGCAGACAGCATGGGACTGGAAAAAAATGAGGAAAAGGAAAAAGAAAAATAGGTTTACTCTGTAATTGAGACAGATCTGAGCACGACAGCAAAAGCAAGCACTGAGCAAGCACCAGTGTTCCTCTGGCAGAATGAATTACAAATTTCCCAGAACTTCTTTCTGGGAAAGGGGAAATACTTTGTCCAGCTCACTGAGCAATTCCTGCCTCACTAGGATTTCACCTGTGGACATGGGATAAACCCACCTACAGCTGTTAATTCCACTGCAGCAGCAGTAACATCATGCATCAAACATTCCACAGAAAAGCTGTGGAAGAGCCTGAAAACACAGGTGTTACATCCCAACATGATCACTTCCCTGACTTCAATTCCTTGACAAGCTCTGGGGGATAAATCTAGCATATTAAGGGTGTTTTTTCCCCACCTACATGCTCAGGAAAGACTTTTATGGCTGAATGTTTGCAAGTTTTATGGAGTCTAGGGAACTTCAAAGATTCCAGTGGGATCCTTCCCATGTATTTAGGTGCTTTATTCCTTGCAGCAGTCAGTGCCTATGACATGCTGGTGGTTAAAAGCACCATTTATATCTCTTATAACACAATTGTAGTGCAGTGGATTTATTTCTCCAGGTCACAAACAAACTACACCATCAAAATATTTGTGATTATGAATAGTAATACCTCACATTTGTCTAAAACTGGAGATGCCACCAAACATGCCAGCAATGTGGTACACTATGGGTAAGTCTAAACTATCCCAGCTGTAAACAGGATGTGAAGGGAGGAATGAGGAGATTAAGAACAACATTTCCAAAGCCATCTGGGGGTGGGAGTCAAGGCTCTGGTTCCAGGACCAGAACTTGCACTGTGTCATTACACACCCAGAAATTCTGCAGAGAGCAAAGGAAAGCACCCACAGCCAGAGCAGCAGGAATGCTGCACACACCAGCTGGGATCAGAGTGCAGGTTAAAGAATGTGTCCAGGCCACAGAAAAATGTGAGTTTCATTCCTTTGTGGTGGGTTGACCCAGGCTGGAGGAAATGTAACAAAAGGCTTGTGGGGAGAGTTAAAGACAGGGAAGGATCAGTCACTGATTGCCATCGTGGGCAAAACGGACTTGACTTGGGGAAATTAGTTTATTACCAATCAAATCAGAGTAGGGTTATAAGAAATAAAACCAAATTTTGAAAAAACACCTTTCCCCCCCCCTTCTTCCTGGGCTCAACATCAATTCTGATTTCTCTGTCTCCCCCCACCAGTGGTGCAGGGAATGGGGGCTGTGGTCAGTTCATCACATGCTGCCTCTGCTGCTCCTTCCTCCTCTGGAGAGGGCTCCTCACACTCTTCCCTGCTCCAGTGTGAGGTCCTTCCCACAGGAGCCAGTCCTCCAGGAACTTCTCCAGTGTGAGCCCTTTCCATGGGTTGTAGTTCTTCCTGAACTGCTCCAGTGTGGGTCCCTTCCATGGGGTCAATCCTTCAAGAACAGGCTGATCCAGTGTGGGATCCCTTTCCATGGGGTCAGTCCTTCAAGAACAGGCTGCTCCAGTGTGGGATCCCTTCCATGGGGTCAGTCCTTCAGGAATAGGCTGCTCCAGTGTGGGTCCCTTCCATGGGGTCAGTCCTTCAGGAACAGGCTGCTCCAGTGGGATCTGTCCCCCGTGGGGTCCCAAGTCCTGCCAGCAAACCTGCTCCAGCGTGGGCTCCTCTCTCCATGGGGACACAGGTCCTGCCAGGAGCTGCTCCAGCCTGGGCTTCCCACAGGTCACAGCCTCCTTTGGACATCCCCTTGCTCTGGTGTGGGGTCTCCAGGGGCTGCAGGTGGATCTCTGCTCCCTCATGGACCTCCCTGGGCTGCAGGGGCACAACTGCCTCTCCATGGGCTGCACCTCAGACTGCAGGGGACCCTCAGCTCCGGTGCCTGGAGCACCTCCTGCCCCTCCTGCTGCACTGCCCTGAGAGTCTGCAGGGTTGGTTCTCTCACATATTCTCACTCCTCTTTTCTCTGCCTGCAGTTGTGCAGGATTTTTTCCCCTTCTTAACTCTGTTATCCCAGAGGCTCCACCACCATCACTGATGTGCTCAGCCTTGGCCAGCAGTGGGTCCATCCTGGAGCTGGAATTGGCTCTGTTGGACCTGGGAAAGCTTCTGGCAGCTCCTCACAGAAGCCACCCCTGCAGCCCCCTCAGCTGCCAGAACCTGGCCATGCAAACCCAACACAGCCCGAATTCACAGCTCTCCCTCCCCACTCTGGGAACCTCAAGCCTTTTCTGGTGAAAACAAGCAGAAGTTCAGGATTCCTGAGGCCACAGGGGAAATAACATAAGGAATATGAAATCCCAATCCAGGGAGTGGAGCACCCTTCCAGCCAGCTGCCCACCAGGCCAGGGACCCAGGGTTGCTGTCCCATCAAATCCCATGTTCCTGGTGGCACAGGATGCACCCTTGAAACCAGCCTGGTGAATATTCCTATTCCTCCTAAGGGATGAAAACCTTTCCAAGCAAGCAGCAGGTCCAGTCTGGCTCCCTGCACAACTACAACAACTTTCTAGAGCTGTCAGTAAGAGGACACGTCTATTTGAAAGCTCTTTAAAGCCCAATTTATCTCCGGGAATGATGGATGCACCCTCTTGATAAAAAGTTGTATAATAATCTCAGCATTTCAAATTTAGTCTCCTTCAGTGGCTCCATCTCAAGTTGTTCAATTCACAACTCCCAAAGAGATCCTTGCTTTTCCAACAGCTGCCACCACAAGGTCAAGCTGGCACCTAAAAAGCAAACTTTGGGGTTTTTTCTGCTTTATTTAAACCAACACTCACACAAAATGTCCCAAACTGTCCCCACAGACAGTTTTCTGATGATGCCCAAGGCAATGTGAAAATGCAACTGCTCTCCCTGAGCTGCAGAACGTTGGTGCTGAGCATGGAAAAGAAGGGTTTGGAACAAACTGAGAGGGATTTGGAGACGGGACAAGGTGTGGTTTCAGTGCTGCACACACCACGTGGAGAGGAAATCATGGATGTGACTTGGGAATCATGAGAATCAGCCTCTACAACTCCACATGCTGGGATGAGAACAGGGATCAAGGTGCAGTTTTCACACTTCCACTTCTGTGCCTCATGACCCTTCTCCCCAACATGCTGTTACCTCCTCACACCCATTTTTGGTGAGTTTTGGTCTGCTTTAGAGCTTTCACCAAGTGAATTCTCAGCTGCTTCTGCACTCCCCTGAACATTTTGGAAATGGGAAAAACAGATGAAAACTACTGTGCTCAGTTTGCCTACTCTTGTTTTTCCCAGTAACCCACTGCTTTTTTCACTTTTTTACACATTTGAAAGTAAACTGACTCTCTGTTTTCTTCTCCTGATGTTGGGTAGATGTGTAACTGCTGCTGGTATCATGTAAATACTGTATTAATATAGAATTACTTAATTTCTTCAGATTGCTGGTTTTTGGCTAATACAAGTCCCATTCCAGATTCTTCCAATGGCATTATTTTAGGCGTGGAGTTTCCTTTGGTTTTTAACGACTTTCTCATTTCTCTGAGTTTGTCTCATTCAAGACAGAAGCTGGAAGACCTTCTGCAAACTCCTTAAAATAGTTCAGAGTGTTCCTGTCAACCAGAACAGCTTGTGGAGACAAACCCACCTGTACCAACATATGTAACAGGTTTATTTATACACATTCAACTTCTGGATTTTGCTGCGGCCCAACTGCATCTCTAAGACTTTAACTTGTAAAAGCATTTTAATTAGCAATGAGTAATTAAAATGAAAGGGTTTACTCAGCACGATGGGAGGTGATCATGCCACCATGACCTCCCCTAAAGGTCCAGGAGGGACAAATAAGTGGTAGCACATCTGGATCTACCACAGCAAGGTCACCAAAGCTGACCACAGGGTACTAAAATTACCAACAGTGCTTAAAACCAGTGAAAACACAGGTGGAATACACACATGTAAAACACACAGCATTTAGGAAAGGTGTTAGGAGTTAACACAGCTTTGAGGGAGGTGGAACAAATGCACTGAACTTCACTAACTACACAAAAGCCATGCTGGATTCAGGAAATTCCTGAAATAAAAACACTTGAAGGTTATGAGAGGAAAGTATCCTTTAATCTCACTCTGTTCTACTCTTCTCCAGGTATCTGCTCATGGATCCTGTTGGAGCCAGGATATTGGCAGAAGGATCTTTGGTAAAACCCTTGATTCTCACACTTACAAAATGCCAAAACGTGCTTTATTAAGAGAATCACTGAATGGGTTGGTTTGGAAGGAACATTAAAAATCACCCAGTTCCAACCCCCTGCCATGGGCAGAGAAACTTCCACTAGACCAGGAATTCAGTTTGATTTAGTCTTGTCATGTCTTTTGGTAACTTTTGTAAGGATCCTCCCCTCACAAACTTTTTAGTTTTCTTCACAAAAAGTGGTGAATTTAAAAAAAAAAGGGAAGATCTCAGGCAACATCCAGCAGGGCAGACACAAGAAAGTGGTTTGATGGAAGAAGGGTGAAAGCACAGAGGAACTGAGGTGGGGGAAGGGGAGAAAAGGAGAGAGCAGCACTGGATGTGACATTCCAAACAGGCTGGAAAATGCTGTCATTCACACTGTTATCACAGCTTTGCAATTATCAGCTTTTCCAGCTGTGAAAGCATCTGATTAGACTTTATATTTTTGGGGGGTCTATAAATATATCTTGACTTTTTTTTTTTTTTTAAACAGAGATTGTGCTGTTTGGTTTCGATATATTTAAAAATCAGGTGTAAGAAGGGAAGCAGATGTGCTTGTTTTCAAAACTGAAAGTCATAAAAAGGCACGTTAAGATTTTCACACTGGCTGATATACAGGAAGGAAATAGTAATATTTCAGCTGGGAACAATATCCAAAGCCCAGGCCACACGTAGCCTGTTGGCAGCCAAGTGACATACTTAGCAAACCAGGAGCAGCAGATGATTAAATCTCATTATACCTGTTCCATTCCAAAACATTTTAGGGACAACTTGTGTCTCTCCAAGCACTTACTGTATTAATGACATCAGGAGCACCTCGTAAAATCCAAACAGGTAGTTTAATGCCAGCAGCTATAGCTGGACAACTGACTCAATTCCAGGAATCTCAGAATTATTTCCCCCCCAAAGCCATGAATAAGATGATAAAACAGGCAGAAGATTTCTCTCTGTGACCTACCCAAGTTGCTGCAGAACTCTCCCACCATTCCATCGGGGTTGGCGGTGGGGATTTGGGTCAGACCCGTCAGGATGAGAACATCACTGTTTTTAAGAGAAGCCTGGTCCATGGGCTGGAACAGAGCACAGGGAAATAACATCAGGAATGGGAAGTTATAACACAGCTTTCTCTGGGCAGGACAGAATAGATACAGTGACCAAGAAGGAGAACACATGGAACACTTTAAACTTAACGTTCCTCCATCTGTGGAAACCTGACTGGAGTTAATAAAAACAGGGACAACGGTTCACCTGCATCCCAGAGCCCAAACAAACAGCGGAATTAGAACTGGATCCATCCCAGAGAATTCCCTGTAGTCTAATCAGTTCATGGCCTCAGAAGCTGAGCACTGAGAAGGCCATAATTTGCTGAGGATGTGGCAGTGAGTCAGGAAGGTTTGACACGTGCATTCTGAGCTCTGGCTGCTCTAGTTTCCAACTTACTTCCCTTTGCAAATCCAGGTGTCAGCTTTGATTTCCAGGGCTCTACAGGGGCAGCACCATTGTCCTCAGCCCTTCAGTGGATTCTCTTTGGAAGAGGTGAGATCAGGAAAGGCCTTTGGGCTTGAAGCTCTCAGTTTTGGGTATGAATCTGAATCATAGGATCACGGCATCATAGACTATCCTGAGTTGGAAGGAACCCCCAAGGATCATCCTTCACCCTTTTTTCACTGAAGTCTATTAATTAACGTGTTTTATACTGGTATTTTCCTAAAGCAGAATGAAAATGCAAACCCATTTCCTCCATTAGCAAACAGAGAGTAGATACTCTTTGCAGCCTCACCAACCAGGAAAGATTTCTGCCAGAAGAGACTGATGAAGAGATCACTAAACCTTGAAGACCACTGTGAGGTTAATTCCCCTGATTACAGTTCCCAGAGCCATTCTGAAGCAGTTGAGAAGGACCTTGCTCTGTTAAACAAACAGGGGAATTTCACATCAACTTTGACAGAAGTTTACACTGTGCACCCCCTTGTAGGATCAGACCTGACACCTGAGATTTATCCCCATCTCCGACTCGCCGTGGTGTGTCCATGAAAATGAAATGCCAATAATGGCAATAAAAAATAATATGGAATGTGCCTGTGATAATGTACATAATGATTATGCCATATTAGATCCACATAATTTCACATGCCATTGCACTGAGAGGGCCTGCATTGATTTTTGTGGGTTAATGTAAAGAATACGTCTTAAAAAGCTTTTAGTGACACGTCTGAACCTGTGCTGTCAACTCCTGTTCTCCACTTCAGTGGCAACGGTGTCAATTCGAGCCTCAGGAGAGGGGGAGGCAAAATTTCAGTAGAAACCATCTGCCAGAAGACAGAAAAGGGAACAATTAATGGTGCCAGGCCTAACTCCCAACTCGCTGGAGAAGTGCTCAGGTTTTGCTGCTGCTCAAAAAGCCCCGGATGTGCTTAAAGGATACCCCTTTTAACACAAAATGCAGCGACTGTTTTCACACACTGCTCAAAGACTGGGGATTTCATGATGAACTGCTCACCACCATTCTGTGGAGAAACAGGTCAGACAAACAACGTTGATCTGCTGAACACAATTCTGCCTCTGTGCCACTCAAGATACTGTTATCATTACATGTTGTCTGTCAAACATCAGAGGGATGAAGAGCTGGTTGGCAGCTCCCAAAAGCCACTAGTTATTACAGAATCCATATTGGAGCAGCCTGTGCTGGTGTTCACAGGGATGAACCTCAGGAGAAAAACTACCCATTGCCTTCAAAAAGCATCTGGGAGCAAATACAAGATGATGCTGATCTCTGGTAACGTCTGTGATGTGGCAAATGACAGGAAAAGTGCAAACTGAATGTTATTTTCATTATCTGGTAAAATATTCCTTCAAACTATGTGTTAGTGTAAAATTAAGCAAAGTGCAAGGTAAAAAATGGTAAAAAATGAGACCCTGGAAAGCATGTGGGACAAGCAGCACTGTCAGCAGTGAATAATCCCAGTTCCATCTCTTGTTGGAACAGGTCCCTCGGGTTTCAGGGAGGCTCCCAGAACCTTCTCCTGCACTTTTTAAGCTCCAACAGCCCTGTCTGATGCTCCCACTTCTGCTGCAGGTTGCAGTGAGTGCAGATCACAGCTCATGGGCTGTGCTCCTCCCAGGCAGTTCACTCACACCCCATTCCCTGCCACTGGGAGTTAATTTCCATAAAAACAAGGCTTTTACCAGGAGTTTCCAGAGAAATGTTCACCTTTGGAAAATGAAGGATGGCCAATCTGACCTGATAAAACTGAATCACCCCTTCACATCAACAAAGGCAAAACATTCCCAGTTACCAAACTACTTCCTACAGAAGCTTCTCCTCACAGAAATATTCCTTTTATACCTTGTCAAATATTGCTGCTCCTTCACTAGGAGGAGATGAGAGAGCACAACCCAAGATGGAACGAGGCTGAGGAGAAAAAGGGGTTTAGGGGCTCTTATACATTTTGTGCAGCTGAAGAATGGGCCAGACTATTAAGGATCCTTTCTCTACTGCAGCTGCTCAGCTCCTGAGAACAAGCTTTTAAGTGAAGGATGCTCAGAAGCAAAGCACTCCACAGATCCCCACCTTGGGGGAAATCACTTACTGATCATCAACCTGACACATCTGCTAAAATTATTTTTAAATACCTCCTCCTAATAATGCTTTTAACTATTTTGACAACTTCTGAAGCACACGGCCCCACCAAACTTCAAACCATTCTTTGCACTAAGAATTTATGGATCTGGAGAGAATTAATTTACTGGAAATTACATCTACAGCACTATAAAGACTTTGCCCTTAGCAGAGCAGGGTGGAAGAGTTGGCAGGCAGTTAGCCATCATTTCTCCCAAGGAAGGATGTTTCAGAAGTGATATAGAAGCAGTCTGTGAGCTGTCTGTGAAGACTCGTTGGTGAAATATGGATTTAAAAAAAATTCACTAATGCTCTATTGTTTAACTCTGTTGAAAATTTCCTGTTTAAAGAGAATTTCACTGTTATAAGTGAACATCAAATCACCAATAACACAGAATTTTAGTTATGTTTCCCTCATAACTACTGATACCTGTCACTTATCAGGGTGTGTCTTATCAATGCCCACTAAGCCCAGCCATTGATAACAGAATTACCTTAGGATGGCTTCTATCCTAAACTGGATCCCTGCTGGAATAAGCCCCTTTTTTGTTTTTAGCAAAGACATTTCCTTCTAAAGAAGACTAACAGAAGTGAGGGGCTGTACCTGAGGGTGTGTTGTAAGTAGAGAAGATCCTGAAACGTAGGAAACCTTCTCATAGTGCGACTGGATGATCCAGTTGGAACTTCCCAGAGCGTAGCCCGAGCTCAGGGGGGTGACCTGCACAGCACCAAACAGCTCCTGGAACACACAGCAAGACACATTAACTTGGGTGAGCCCCAAAACAGGTCATTTTGTCATCAGTGATGTGAATTTTAAAAGCAGTTCTGCTACTCAAAGCCTTTATGAAGCTGAGAATCACTCATGTCTAACAGGACACACTCTGACAGGTGCTTTTCCTGAGGCAGGGCCTCCATGAAGTCTCTTTTCCATGTGAATCCTGTGACATCTAACTGAGCTCAAACTTAACCATACCTCAAAAGGAAGGAATCACCCAGGGTCTTGGTTCTCTGCCTGCCTTTGCTGTATTAAAAAAGTTTGTAGGGGCTTTAAATCTTTGAAAACTCTCTTCTCCTTTAGCCAAATTAAACTGGTATTGGCCAGCAGGAGAGAAGGAAGGACAAGCACTTCTCCACTGACAAAAAACTCTGCTTGGGTTGCAAATTTTACTGTGGAAAACAAACTTAACCTCAAACTCACTCACTTTCTAACTTTACTTCTTTTTAGATGCTGTCTACTGGTGATTTAGAAACACCACCCTGCAAACTCAATCCACATTTTAGTTTCAGCACGAGCAGCCTGACAGTTGTCTCCTTCCCAGGTGTCATTAGAAACCTGCACACAGCAATGTGTTACCCTTGTTTGGAGAGAGGAAAATCAGCCTCCACGAACACCTCCCTAATGTGATCTGCTTTCTGGTTACTGAATAATGGAACAAGCACCCGATTCCTGCAATACTAATGATTTTTCTACCATCTCAATACACATTTGGATGCCTTGGAGAACAAGGCAGGGCCTCCATCCCTCAGAGCGTATAAACTAAGGCTCTAAAGTCTGGTTATAATTTTAGAAGTTAGCTTTGGGAGGAGATAAAATATGTTTGTTTTTTTTCCCATGGTAACTGTAAAAGAATGATTGGCTCAGATGCACAGAGGTAAAATTAGGAGTGCATCCACACCGTGAGGGTGGTTGAAAATGAAGAGTAACAACCATGGATACTGAGGAGTCACAACTTACTTTAACCCATTTTTTTATTTCTTATGGCCCTGAGCAACAAAAACAGGTACCATGACCCACACAGGAGCAGGGATCATGGCCATGTGCTGCCTGCAAACCACAAGGATCTGCAGACTATGGAATTGTTGGTTCAGTTCATTCTGGAAACTACAGTGGATTATAGTCAACAACATTACAGACAATGAGTGTTATCTGGGAGCTCTGGGAAGGGAGTTTCTGCAGTTCATGTTGAACCATTAGGTTTTGTTTACAATCCCTAATTTACAGCATGGAAGAAAGTGGAGGCTGAAGCACTCAAAAGACTCCCAGAAGTGAGATACGGTAACTCAGGAGGGGATGTGGCTTTACAGAGAGGATCCATCCATTCTCTGCATCCTCCCAGCTCTCAGTGGGCCGGCCATCAACTCCAAATTTGAAGGTACACTGCCTTAAAATTGGCCTCCCCAAGGAAGAGGAGAAACAAATGGATATTCCCTGATTTCACTGAACCCTTCCTGGGAGGCAGAGACTGTGGGACATTCCTTATAATCCAGTCTTGCTTTCCTAGGCTACGGTAACTAGATCTTACACAGGAGCAGGAGGGGAAAGAGAAAAGGGAGGGCATTTCCAGGGAAAAGATGGGAGACAAGTTGTTGGTGTTGACCTGAGGGCAGCTTTAGAGGTACTCACAATTTTCTGGGAATACCCCACGAGCTGGATCTTACTGAGGGCTGCATTCACTTCTGGCATGGTGTAGCACTTCCTCCACATGGACACCTCCACCGCGTCCTTCAGCGGCGCCGGCAGCAACCTGCACACACCAACACCTTCAGAATGTCCTGGTGGACATTTTACACCCCTCTCTGTTCTCCAGATCTTAGATTTCACTCTTTTTGTTTTCAATATGCCTGGTGCTTCTAAGTCAGGGCTCCTGTGGAGGAGCAGCCCATTCCACCCCACCCCAAGGACTGCTGTCCTTCAGCTCCTCGTTGCTGTTCTATCCAGCCTTTGCATCAAAGAAGGAGCTGTGACTGAGGTGTCATCACAACTCTTGTGGTGTTTTCATCACTGAAAAATGAGATGTCAACATGAAATGCACCACCAGCACTGGTAGAGATGACTGGGATCTTGGATCAGTGTCTATTTTGCACATCCTAATAAGCTGAAAACATATGAATAATCTAATACCCTAATAATCTGAGACAGTCCTGTGATTAAAATCAGGTACCAGACCATGACCAGGGGTGGCCCTGCTCTGATTTTTGTCACTGGTCTCTTCCAAGAGGACGTGTTCCTGCAGCTCAGCCTCCCTGCCTTCACCCCCCAGTGCACTGGCAAGGATACATGAGCTGACACTGCAGAGCTCTTTGAAATCCCCTACACGGAAGTATTTAAGATGTTTTACACCAAAGTAAAATCCATCCATTCTGCCCCTCACAGACATTGCAAGTGAGCTGGACAGCGCTGTCAAGGGAAGAAGTGAACTATAATGTCACAGGCTCTAAGAGGGATGGCTAACTCCTGGGAAATAAATCTTCCTTAGGAACACGGACTGAGGCAGGAAGCAGCACAGCTGCCAAATGCGTAAGAAGAATAGGATATTTTTTTTTTTTGTATATTAAACCAATGCTAAATCAAAGGCTAATTCAAACCAATTTCCAAAGATTTATGGAAATTGGTCAAGTTTCTTTGATCAATTTGTTTAAAGGAATTTAATTTATTGTTATATCTACTAGGTCAGTGAACTCCTCCATAATTTAAGATACTGAAGAAAGGATTAAGGGCAGCTCTTGCCAAGACCACTGCACAGGTCTGGAGCGATAACTGTAATTCCAGCACACGCTGGCTGAAAGCTCATTGTGCTTCAGGAAACAAACAAAGCCTTCAAGGTCTTTTTTTGGGAAGTCAAGCAACAAAAGGCCAAACAATGTGGATAGTTGTCCACCACTGCACTGAAGCAAATTGCCTGTAAAAGCCTTTAACCCACCATAAGAGGCATTTAGTGTTGGATGCTTTCAGGAGCTTCTCTTCTGGGAAGAGGAGAATATTTCTCCAGGTAATGGAGAAAGTGGGGAATTGTCCTTGTTGATAGAAGGAAGTTTCTATCAGCCTTGACTCTGTGTCTATGCTGTAAAAATACTCTGATCCCTGGCAGAGACCAGTGGCACCAGTCTCCAGTGGTTTCATTTGGGTGAGTGGCACAGGACGAAGTGCTGGTCCCTCAGATGTGCCCCCTGCTGCCACTCAGTCTGTCCCCCTTTAAAATCTGTAAAACCACTTTTAAAATCTGTACAGAGTTACTAGAGGATACTTTACAGCCTGGAGTAAATCTACTAAAATCATGGCAACACCCTGTTACGGATCATCTCCCAGCAACCAGATGTGTGTGGGCAGATGCTGGGACAGCCACAAGCAGGAGGGTACCATGAAGCAGCACCATCAAGGACACAAAATTTAGGCTTGAGAAACTCAGAGGTTTGTTTTTTTAACTGGGCATCTGCACAGAGACAGTCCCACCTGGTCCATGCAAAGGGTGATATTCAACATATGACATAAAAAAGAGAATTGTTTGAAGGGAGAGGAGGATGCAGCAGCAAACTAGATCAGAACTTGTCCCCCATTCAGCCTCAGGAAACAGCCTGTTTCAGATATTTTAGAGAAAGATATCAGAAAGCATCAAACAAGAAGTCAACAAAGTGCTTTTCATAAGGCAAACTTCCTCTTTGCCCCCTGAATCCCAATCAGTGTGAAAGATATCCTGGCTGACATCTACAGAGCTCATCTCAAATAAAACCCACTGGCAATAAAGCTGGCTAAGCTACTAGTTCAGATTGGATATGATAATGGAAAAATGTAAACCACTCTAATGAACTTATTATTACATTTTATACAGTGTTTGCATTTAAAATGCTCCAGTGCTTTATCTAATGGAGATGACAACACTTTGTGTTCTATACTAACTGTTCAGAGTGGGACCAGCTGAACTGCAAAGCAGTAATGGGGATTGATCAGCCTGAGAAACTCAAGTTACACTCAGAAGTAATAAATATTCTGTCCTAGCAACAGCCTGAGTATTAAAAAACCCCAATTCCTCAAGGATCACATTTGCTTAACTAACGGATGTCAGCCCAACCCTGCCTGTGCCATTAGCCAGGTGCTGATTTGTGGAGCAGTGGAGGTTTGCTCACATGCTCTAATAATCAGTTCCATTCACTCCTGCCTGACACTTGTCACCAGGAGCCTCAAAACACTTTGCAAACATTAATTAAGTCCCTGTGTGCCCTCTGGGGTGGGTGGGAGCTCTGTGTTACAGAAGCACAGGGAGGTGAAGAGGGGAACTCAGGGCAAAGGTGGAAAGGGAATTCAGATTTGTCTCCAGACAACACTGGTTTGTGGCCTCATGGCAGAGTTTCTGATATACAAATTTATGTTACTAAATAGCTGTTTAGTACCTCCCTGGTACCCCCTCAGAACAGCTACATGATGGGACCCAGGAAGAACATTAATTTTGAGGTACTTCCTCAGAAATACGAGAGAGGAAAATGTATTTTAAATACCACTTCAACAAGAAAAGACTGCAGCCTCCTCCAGCAGCTGGATCAGAACAAAGATTCCCTCTCTGTGCTTGCCTCTGGAATAGTCAGCAGCATGTGAAGTGCCAGGCAGCACTTTTCCTAAAATACGACCACCAGGCAAGTGACATTCTCTGAGCTCCGAGATATATGACCCTCCTTTAAACTGTGCATACAAAACATGCCACGGTGGGATGGGAATAATGGCTCCAGAACTCCCTCTTGGTGTGGTGGGAATAACAGCTCCAGAACTCCAGAACTCCCTCTCCACACACTGGGAGCTGTCTGGGGGTGTGATGGGAATAATGGCTCCAGAACTCCCCCTCCACACACCGGGAGCTGCAGGAGAGGGTCTGCTCAGGCCAGCAAAACTCCAAAATTATAAAAAAAAACCCACCACTATTCTGAGAATCCTGATAAACTTTACTTTCCTTTACATCCAAGTTTTACTTGCCTTCTTCAGAAGAGTGAGAGTGACAGTGCAAAGGCTGCTCCTAAGCTCAGCAGGGGAACACAATATACAGCTAAAAACACGGCAATTGGGATTTTTAATTTCTTTGCTTTGTGGTACCGGAAAATATCAAGACGACTTTTACAACATACGAAATAATTCCTTCTTAGGGAACTTTTCAATCAAGCCACCTTAAGAATTAGTGGTAGAAAATGGGAGATCAATTAAAAATGCACAAAGCAGCCTTTAAAAATAACTTTCTAATCAACCAACCCTATCTTTAAAATGTGCTAAAAACGAAAGTCTCTCCTCCAAAGAACATGTTGTGCACCTAAAATTGGTTTTATTTCCAAGGAAAGCATTATCTGCAATTAGTAAACTGTATGGATAATTTTTAGATTCCACAGGTTTTCAAAATGTTAGATGTAGAAGCCCTCAATTTTGAGCACCTTGTTTTGATGAACAGCTGGAATAATGGACATGGTGTTTCCAAATAACCTTTTTTATTCGGGTTTTGATTTGGTCTGAAGCTTTGGAAAGCCAAAAATCTCACTTCTGCTGTTCAGGTGTAAAAGAAGATGGTAAGAAAGGTAACACTGCTCTGTTACCTCCAACAGCTGTGTCTTGACTTTCTTAGTATTTCAGCGAACATGAACGTTAATATCATTTTAAATTTAAATTATTCCAATACAATATAATTAAGTTTAAATAGCCTGCTAATTTCAACAATTTTTTATGATGTTAATACAAAAATGTGCTGGTTTTATCCACCACCATGGAGCTAAACTAAATCAAGCTTGTGAGGTTGGAAGCCCAACAACGTGCAAATGATTTAGAGAAAGAACCGGCCCAAGTGAACCTTTTTCCTGGAAATCTCAAAGGGTGGGAGCTGACCCATCATTCCAGTGAATCCTACACTCTGGTTAGTGTTTTAGGACAGCCACCTTTCTCGGTGACTTGTTCCTTACCTCTGCACCTCCTTGTTCTTCCACATGGAGGCAGACTGAGCCTTTGGCACGCGTTCAATGGAGTTCACCAGTTCTTCCATGAGGAGTCTGAAAAGGTGATCAGGACTAAATTAGTACTGCAGCTTCTCACACAGGAGAGAGTTGAGAGCTTTGTCCCAAATCTTTCCAAAATACCCCACAAGCTGTTAACACTGTCAGGCAGTTTTAAAGAGGGATCTTCCCACAGAGCCATCGCAGCAATCACCCGACAACCAACACTATCCCTCTTTCTCCACAGAGCATTCCCAATTCCATCTGCCTGGCTGTGGCAGCACAGGATCTGGCCCATCGGGTTATGGGTTATTTGGAAAGGGCCAGATAATTCCTTCATTACTGACATAACCTGTCATATGGAATGAGACAAAATACACACGGAAAGCTCATTAGCTGGTGCCCGTTTATCACCTGGAGAAGCCAAGCACATCGTCAGAGGGAACTCTCCTCCTCTACCAGGGCACATTTGAGACAGAGAAATATGTCAGGCATTAGAAATTCTCCCTGCAGATTTCACTGCATCTGTAGCTGTGTGCAGGCTTGAAGGGAGGAAGTCACAGATTTACCTGCAGAATGGCATTTGGAATTACTTGGGATGGGGAGAACCACACCAGTACATTATCTTCAACTCTGGACCAACCCCAGAGCTCTATTTCTAGTTCATATTCATACAATTCCTTTCACCTACAAGGGCATTCAGTTTGTTTGTTTTCACACAATGAGGGAATTACTCTGGCATGGGAAGTTTGCACAGGACCTTTAACAGCCAAAGATTCCTGCTCTGAAGTGCTTACAGAGTAGTCCAGATACCAGGGTCTAAAGTGGGTCCTAATTACTGAACACAGCAGCTGCTCTGCATGAGGGAGGCAGAGACCACAAGGCCAGTCAGGCCTCATCAAGGGACAAACCTGCAGGGTTTGGTGTTGACCTATTCAACCAACAAGACAATTTTGTAAGAATACACTGGCAAGTTTGGTGACTGTTATGGGTTTGACCACATTGTCGGGTCTTAGATTTTCTATTTCAGTCTCCTGTTGCTGCTGTTTTCCTCAGTGCTTCTCTCTGGAGTTCAGAGCTTATGGATCTCCACTGCCATTTGAGGTGAAGTCTGCTTAAATTCCCTTCCATGGAGTGGAGGAAAGTGTGGTTATATGGAATCATAGAATCCTAGAATGGTTTGGCTTGGAAGGGACCTTAAAGCTCACGAGTTCCAACCCCCCACCATGGGCAGGGACACCTTCCACTAGCCCAGGTTGCTCCAAGCCCCATCCAGTCTGGCCTTGGACACTTCCAGGGATGGGGCAGCCACAGCTTCTCTGGGCAACCTTTTCCAGTTTTCTTACTGAAAAGACTCCTTTTGTTTAAGGGGATCAGAGAGGAGCAGGAGAAATCCCTAATCCATGGGGTTCAAAGTTGGCTATATGGCAATTGCTGCTCCAGGTGTCTCAGCCCACTCCAGATCTACTGTCCCACATCAACTGCCTGGATTCAACACCAAGCACCTGCTGTAAGTGTTGAAGATGGTTCCAGAGGTTGGGAAGCATTGAGTTAACACATTTGCAGCACTAAGGACTTGGCTGGTGTTCAGCTCCTGCCTAAGAGCCTCTTGGGAACATGAGACACCCCTGCTCTCCCCATGTTGTCCTTCACACCTTCTCCTGAGCAGTGAAGAAAGAGGAGTGGAGAACATTAAGGGGCTCTTTACCTGCCAATTTGAACAGTGGGCTCGGTGGCATAGACTGTGCCAGTGAACCCTGTGTACTCTGTGATGTAGGGCAGTGCCATCATGCAGTGATAGTTGGAGATCAAGATCACATCCACTGTGGAGAGGTCAAGCAGTTCAGTCTGAAAGGAGAGCAGAGAGATAAGCAACATGTAACCCTTTCATGCAGTTTAAGCAATGGCAGAAAAACTTCTTATTCTGTTTTGGGTGGTTTTTATTAATTTATAGTGCAGGAATGTAACCAGTTTATATAAAAAAAGTCTGTCTCGTGCCATGCCTCAGCTGTGGCAAAGATTAATATTTCCTTCAAACTAACAAGTTTTATTTAAAAGCCCCCTAAAAGGAAACCATGTCCTGGGTTTGTCTGTGTTTCATACATGGAAATGGCTGCTGTTATGAGATCCATGGTGATCACACTTTTATCAAAGAACTCATATGTGCACTTCCTCAGGGAGGAACAGACGCCAAAACTTCTGCAGCACTGATTTAGCAGGGTGGCTCATATTTTTTTTATGCAGCACATCCTACTGTACCCCAGGAGAGTGAGAGAGATGAATGAAGACTGTATTTATTCCTACACTTAAAATAATTCTATTTTCCCCAAGTAAACTCTTGGCATCTTTATCATTCACGTTTTCTACAGCAGGAGATGAAGCTCATTCATAAGCTACAACAAAACAGTTGGGTGGGTCTAATTTGTTTTGATGTGACAGTTTAGACAAGAGTTCTGAGAGCAACAGAAGATTTCACACGTTGTTAAAAGAATTTTAATTAGAAATATTTACTGGTAATGCTATAACACAAACGGTGTCAAGTCAGGAATTCACAAGATGTATGACCTCTAACTCAGTTATTATAGAGCAGCTAATGGAATTCAACACTCATCAAGCACATATTATCTGATTACAAGGCTTGGTCCAGCAATTTGAATAAAAAAGGCAGGAAAGTAGGTCACTCTGCTTTTCAGAGGGCTGACACAGTGCTCTGGTGACAAGCTGCTTAACTCCTCTCTAAGCACTCATGGTTTCAGTCCATGATCACAGCTAATGTTGGAGCCACGATCTCCAAGCTGGGAACAGGAGGTGAAACACCATCCTGGGATCCCTGACAGGGCACCTTTTATCTCACTGAGCTTCCAGGCAGAGACACACTCACTGTGTGGTATCAACGGATCCGCTGACGCCTCCTCCTGCCAAGGCCTGGTTCCTTCATGAACTGGTTTTCAGCTTGTCCAGAATCAAATTCTAGAGTGGTTTGAGCAGGAAGGGACCTTAAAACTCATCTCATTCCACACCCTGTCATGGCCAGGGACACCTTCCGCTAGCCCAGGTTGCTCCAAGCCCCATCCAACCTGGCCTTGGACACTTTCAGGGATGGGGCAGCCACAGCTTCTCTGGGCAACCTGTGCCAGGGCCTCCCCACCCTCACAGGAAACAATTTTTTCCCAATATCCCATCTCTCCCTGCCCTCTGGCAGTGGGAAGCCATTCCCCTTGTCCTGTCCCTCCATCCCTTGTCTCAAGTCCCTCTCCAGCTCTCTTGGAGCCCCTTTAGGCACTGGAAGGGTTTCAGAGGTCTCCCTGGAGCCTTCTCCTCTCCAGGTTGAGCCCCCCCAGCTCGCCCAGCCCATCTCTCAGAGATGCTCCAGCCCTGAGCTGAACCCCAGCCCAGGTGAGCCCTCGGGAGGATACACACCACCACTTTCCAGCCTTCAGCATCCCACATCTCAGAAGCATTTACTGAAAGGATGAAAAGGGTGTCAAAACCAAAACAAAGTCAAATCTTCCCTGGGACTTGCGGCGATCTCACCGAAGTGCCTTTGAACTAAAGAGGTTTCAAAATGTTCCTTGAAATGTGAAGTGAAAGAGCAGAAGGTTGCCAAGCAAAGAGAGGGCTGCACCCTGCACTCTGACATGTGTGAGTGTACTCTGCTGCCCAGACAGCCTTTAGCACCTTGTGGCTGCTGGATTAGATCCAAATCTTGGCTTGCTTTGGCAATGGTGTTCCTGGAAGCGATACGTGATTCTCCCACTAACTGCTTTTGCAGACAAGTTTCTTCAAAAGAAGTGGCGTGGAAGGAGACAAAGGGAAAGACAAAGCCTCTTTCACACGAGCTCCTTCTTATCCTGTGCTGCCAAACAGCAGCAACATTCCCACTGTGCTGATGCTTTCAGCTGACCGTGACACCCGAAACTCCTGCAGGCAGGTGAGCTCGAGGGGTAAGCTGGGTATCACCAGCACATCTCTTCCTGGTGCTCACAGAGACTTGGCATCTGTTGGGAACTTTGGAAAACATCTGGGAGGCCAATTTTTAAAGTCCCTGCAACGGTGACAAGTGCAGCTGGTTGTTGTAACATGGACTGCCGGGAAGCAGCTCCATGCAGTGGTAACACGGGTAAAATGAAGCAGCGACTCCCCGTCTGTCCTATGTGGGTGTTTTCCAGTCCAAAAAAGTAACCAGAAAGCCTGGCTGAAGCATCCTAAACCCCAGCAGATTATCCTTCCTGCACATGGTCTCAATTCCAAAGGGAATCCAGCACATAAAACTCTATCCTTCCCCAGATCTGAGCCACAATGGCATTTTCTACACATACAGATGCTTCCCATATTCCTTCCATAGCACAGTAACCAAAGAGATCACAAGCACCCTGTACTATTAGGGTTTTGGGTTGGGTTTTTTTTTGGTGTGATTGGATTATAACCATTCCAGATGGGATGGAATGGTTATAATCTGTTGGAATCACTTGCCAAAGCCAGTACCAGAGCTGCAAACTTGCTTGAAGAATCAAAGTGACAAGGGTCAGGAGCTGCCAGAGGTGAGTTACATGGGATCCACAGACAGAAACAGTATTGCCAGAGCCCCAGCAAGCTGACAACAACCTTCCAGGAGTGTTTTGTGCCTCCTGCCAACAAGGTCAGGCAGAAGGGGAAAAAAAAATTGCTGCCCAAAAGCAATTGTCTGTCTTTGAATGACAGAGAAAACATCCCAACATGAAATGAAAGAACTGATGTTATCACAGTCTGAACACACTGAGGGAAGAGGATACTATTCCCAGACCATTCCCCATCATTCACCTCCATCTCTCTCTGCTCAGCTTTTGACTCCTACATAGAGCATTACCCTGATCAGCCAGGTGACCTCGGGCAATCCAAACATCTTCAACAGTCTTGCTTTCTTTTTTTTCTTTTAAATCCATGAATTCTTGTAAAAACCAGCTTGAGAAGCAGCCACTTGCAGCCACGTCAGTGGATTTGAAGGCAGAGTTCTTCCCTCAAAGAGGCAGAGATGGGCAGCAAAGAAGGCAGCAAAAGTTTTTAACCTAAATGTGCTGCTGGCAGAAATGCAGCCCAGAAGAATCCAAACCTGGCTTAACCACACATTTAGCTCCCCAGAGAGCTCCACTGGGCAGGTCCTGAATCCATGGTTAGAGACAAACAGCATTCCTTGTCTTCATTCCCTGCCCTTATCTGGATCAGCACATGTATCCTGTCATATTCCAGCCCAGCTCAGTCAGATTGTCTTTGGAAGGCCCATAAAAAGGGACAGTTAAGTCTTATTCTTGTGTGAGATACAGATCTGCTCAAGGAAACCTTCCACACCTCCCAAAACCTCTGTTGAAAAGGGCTGTTTCCATCCTTTTCCCAAGTTTTAGCAGTGTTATTTACTGAGCAGTAATTAAATAGCAATAATCTGGTAATAATAATAATAATTTAGCAATTTTCTCCCACATGATTGAACAGAGCCAGATTTTCAGCAAAATAAACTCACCTCTGGCAAGCAGAACTCAGGCACCGAGTCCACAAACACGTGGCCAGAGCACTCCTTGAGCTCCTGTAAAAACCACACCAACAGAGAAGACACAAAAATACAACCCAGTGTTACTCCAGTGCAGCACATTTTGCACTTTCCAAACAGGTAATTTCCAGCCTGTTATTACATCATGTTTATGCCCCTTCTAGACACAATTTGGTGTAAGGCAGATCTGCTGAAATTCCTTTCATGCCAGATGAGGCTGCTTGGTGTCTGAAGGGATCAGATCCTTGTTGGGAGAACGGAAGGAGCACTTTGGTAGGTCAGGAAGGAGCCCTGGGAATCACTGCTGGGTGGTTTGGAAGGCAAGTTTGCAATTTAGTTTTGGTTTCAAACAACATCCAACCTCTTCTGTCTTATTAGGACCAGAATGCAATTTTTAGCCCCTTTCTCAGAGTATTTGATGAAGCAACTTTTGGGGATCTATGCTCCACATGGAACTTTTTATTAGATTTAGCTCCACCGGATCTCTAGTCCTCTGTTTTCTTCCTCTTTTTCCAAGGCTGACATCAAAAAGCTTTGTCACATAAAAAGTCAGGGCTATGTGTGGAACAAAAATATTCCCAACTCCACTCCTAAACACACCTCACAAGGTATCTCCCACCCACTCTCCTCTCCTGGATGCTTCCCTTGTCCCACAGCGAGGGGTCTCAGCCAGAGTCAGCCTGACAGAATTAAAGATTGAATCCAGTTGTTAATAATTACAGTGCACCTGCCAACTCCTAACGAATGAGCAATTACAGCTCGTGGCAGAAGTCTCCCACCCTCATCTCCAGGGAGTTCAAAATGATTAAAAGGAGATCTCAGCACATTTCAGTGCCTCTCCAGGACTGAAGTTTTATAACTGTCACTGGAACAGGAATGTCCACCCCACATGATGAAACACCCCCCTTTGACTCCTTCCCTTGCCTTTTTCCAGCAGGGGTCACAGAATTGACCATTCCAGGCAGTCCCAGTGGTCAAGGTGAAGGGAAGAGATGCTGCATTTGAATTTCTAACACATGATTTCCATTGGCACTGGGTGAGTTTGGAGGTTTCTCTCGAGCACATAACGCAGCAGCAGCACCCCAGAAATGGAAATACATCCCATCTAAAACTATACTGACAGTGAGTCCATTCTTTGGGAGCTCTGAGACCCAGGCTGGGGTTCAGGAGAAACATATTCCAGGGAATTCAAACTGAGCAACTCCGTTCCTTGTCCCTGAGCCTTTGCAGCCTGTGACTGCCAGAGAACAAGTGCTCTGAATAGAGCTGGTACTATTTTACCAACACAAATGCTGCCTGTACAGTTTCTTTTGTCTCCAATGAGAAGAAAAATCAGGTCTTTAATCTATGATCTTCAGCTCCCTTGCCTGTAAAAATCAGATCAATCCATTTTGTCCACCTCAAAGTCCCCTACATAACCAACTATTATCAGTGTTTCCTTTAATGTTCACATAGTCAGAGAACAGTCTATTAAAACACTATTTTCTCCACTGGTACCTATTGCTGCCCACATCTGAAATGTACCTGCCTATTTTACTAACTTCTGACATATTTTTCTGTTCATTGTTCCCCCCGTGGCAGATCAAGCTGGAGGCTGCAGTGCCAAGTTCTGGTTGAAGCCCCAGATAAATTCTGCCTACAAAACTGATGTAATGAAAAGAAGAGGGAAAAAAAAAAAGAGAAATTCTGTGTCTCTCATGTAGCTGAGGAAGTTCTGTGTCTTAGAATTAGGAGGCTGGAGATAAAATCCTCCCTGCTATGTCCAGCAGCAGAACACATGTTGACTTCAGAGGCCAAAGACAAGCTTTTCCTCTCTGAGGGACCTCCCATAGGCAAACCATTCACTCTCTCAGAGTCCTCCTGCCTCACAAAAGGTACAGTACCAACCTCATTTATAAGCATACTCTGAAGCTTCAGTGTCAGAAAAGTGAGACTGGGGAATAAAAGGCACTCTAAGAAGGCAAGGCACTATTATTTATGGAGCTCCATGAAATACAAAAATATTCATTCTGATGACTTCTGCATTTTAAAGAGGATTTTTTATAATCTAGGCTACCTCTGAAGACTGAGAGCCTGGAGTTGCTATTAGCATTTTGTTTCAAACCCTTCTGCTCTACAAGGACACTCTGGCTGGTAAAGGTACACACAGAAACCTTCAGGATGAGTCAGTGTGGAATATTGTTCCTGCTCCTAACCTGTCAGGGAGCTTTTGGCCTGGCAAGAAAATTCCAGAAGTACAGTACCTTGTCCAGAAAAGTGCTTCCATCTTTCAAAACCCAACCAGGAAGTTTGGACAGCCTGGGGCTGTAGAAAAAAAAAGAAGAGAAATTATTGGAATATGAACTGGCTCATGATCAGTGGCCAAGCACAGACCTCCTGTTTGGTGTCACACAGGCAGAGAACAGCATTCCTGTCTCAGGGAAGTAACAGTCTCAATAAAACAGACAGACAGTTTCACTGTGGGTAAGTGTTCACCAAAATGACTTTTACAAATCATGATTATGACACTTCCAAGTAAAAAGAATAAGAGGATGGGGCCTGCAGGGAGTTTGTAGTCATTTATGAGGAGAATTTCAAAAAGGCTCAGTGCTGCTCAGTTGCCCTGTGGTAAAACTGGATGAATAAACAGAAGCTGGGGCAGCAACAAACTCTGGGCTTGAAACAACACAAAAGCACCATAAAACTGCTCTGGGACAGAGGACAACAGACAAATATTCCCATTAGCCATGGCAGGGGAAGACTGGTGCTCTGGACAAAGTGTTTGTAGTCACAGGTTGGGATTTTAGATCACATAAAACACGGTTTCCTGCTTAGTTCTCACCCTGAGCAGCCACACCAAGAGCTGCACAGAGCATTCACCTCTGCTGAAGGACAAAGGGGCAAGGAGGTTTTGCTGGGAAGTGCATGTTCTAAGCAACAGCAGAGACCCTTTTTTTAATAGTCTCAAATGCTAATAAAGAAATTCCAAGGTGGACATTGTAAGCCTGAGTTTACAGTAGTACTTGCTGCAGCATTTCTTGCTGCCTTAACTGAGAGACTTATTCCACACTTCACTAACATTTGATTTTTGTGGGAGCCTCCAACTTAGCTCTAAAACCACTGTGTGCCCAGACTCAAGCACATCTACAGAAATCCAAAAAAAGTGGAGGTAACAAGAGAACTGAACCCGCCTGGAAACAAGCCCTGCAACAACCTCAGATCTGGAACCTGGTTGCAATGAAATCTGGAAGTGCTGGGCACTAAGTTCTACAGACAAACATGTTTATAGCCTACAAGGGCTTTCAAATGAAACATCTTGAAAATAGGAAGTGATTCGAGGGCTCAGAGGAATGTTGTGTTCAGATTAATGTGGATATGAAAGAACAAATTCTAACTGACACCCCAGAAAGTCCCAAGGAAGGAAAAAAAGGAAATCCAAGACTCAAGCAGTGAAGACAGAAGGTATGAGGGGAGAGAAGAAAGATCTGTCGTGGAAAAGCTGTGCCAGAGAAGTGCGTCCCATTTTGAGGATTAAGTCTGAAGAAGTCTGATGATGGAAAAGATGAAGTGGCCTAATGTACTCCACACCAACACGTTCAAAAGCACAATTTAGGAGCAGTAATTTGGAGATTGAGGAGGCTGAGGATAATTGGTGCAGTGAGACTAAAAGAGTTATGGAAAAAGCAAGGAAAAAGCAGGAACAAACCACTCTGATATGCAACAGCTTTGACAGATACAGGAGGAGAGGACAGAAAACTTGGCTGGAAGGGACATCTGGAGGTCTGCAGTCCAATGTCTCGATGACTAGGTCAGGTCGGTCTGGCTTTGTCCAGCTGTCCCTTGCAAATCCCTGGATCTTTCTGTGGGATCACCAGCACGAGGCAGAGCAGAATAAACTTCCCCTGATATTCTTGCCCTCATAATTTAGCCTCGTGTGAGTTTTGCTTTATTCACAGCGAAAGAGCAACTATTGACTGGTACTAAACTGGCATCCACTGAGGAGGGTAAGGCCTTGTCAGGGGAGGCAAAATCAGCAGCTGGATCTTGTGTGTGGCTGGAAGTGGAATGAGCAACACAGGACAGAAAGGACTCTTTACCTTGAAGCCAAGAAGCAACACAGCTCCTGCCGACACAGTTTTGACATTGTAATAGAGTGATTGATTAATCCAAAATAGCTGGAACTGTCCCATAAATAATGTGAGCAAGTGTGTCATGGCTAGACAGGAAAGGTTAAGAGCTTCCCACATGTTCATTTTACCGCTTTGCATTTGACTTTGGCGCAGGGGAGAAAACTCCCGTTGACAAACCTCCTTTGAAGTACATAAAGAGAGGGCACAAAGGGTTTGGCAACTGCAGGTGCCCTGCACGTGCTCCACGGGCTGGAGAGAACAAGGACTGCCACTGCCAGGGCAAGGGGGAATCTAAGTACCTTTGGATGGGCTTTTTTTTTGGAGAGCAAAGAACTCTAAAAAATGCCCAGTCCCTTTTGTGCCACAAACACTGCAGCACTTTCCTCTCTTGGAGATTAAAGCACAGGCTCTCAAAGTGTTTGCTCAAGGAGGGTCCCATGCCAGGTGTGACACAGGACTGAGCTGCATAGCAATGATCCTCTGTAATATCATTCCTTAGTGCTCTGCAGAGGTAAAAATTAGGGCTCACACTTGCAGAGCCCAAGCAGTTCCTGGGTCATTCTTTGGGGATCTCTGGATTAGAGGCAGCAGAGAGAAGTGTGGTTCCTCTCTGATGAAGATTTCACACGGGTCCGTCTCAGATTAGCACACCTGGTTCTGAGAGGACACACAGCTCAGATCTGACTGACCTGTGCTAAAATTCCTCAGGCAGCCAGTCTCTCCTGTCATCTCTCACCTGGCAACTGATTGCAATGTCACCCCTCTGTCACCTGCCCATGTCGTGTTGATAATGCACATTTGAATTTCAGAGGTGTTTAGACACAGACACCTGATCTATGAAGGTACAACTCCGAGCACTGCAGAGAGATAAGGGCTTTCCAGTGGCAGCCACATTCCTCCTCGAGTTTCTAACTCATTTCCACCCACTCTCTGCAGGACACCTGGTTTGTAGAGCACTGGAGAGATCAATTACTCGCCCAAGTCCATGTGCTCAGGCCAATCCCTGCTGGAAAGGCTGTTCAATCACCTCACCGACAAGATTGATTGGATTTAAATCCAACTGTTTGCTCCGATTCCACTGGGCCATCAGGGGTCAAATCTGACATCCTTTCTTATTGAGTTTGAGTCATTTTAGTGCCGACATTCTGGAGGTACTTGGGGAATTCCAGGTTGTGACCTGCAATTTGGCTGTTCATTCCCAGGGTCTGCTATCAGCAGACAGAGCTGGCATATCCCCAGGGAGTGCTGATTCCTGCCGTTCGAAAGAACCTCTTAAGCCTTTGTTCAATCACCTCATTTTGCTACTTGTTCCTCTCTCCACTTCCTTTTTATTTGGGGGGTGGGTGAAAGCTAATGCAAGGCAATTCTGCCTGTACCTGGATTTCCCAAATTTTCTGGATCCCTTCAAACTCTACTTCTGCCCCAGCAGCAGATGTTGCAGCCAACAACTGCATTATGGAATGGGACAAAAAAATCAGCTATCACACTGATCCCTCTTAAGGCATCTGTTGCCTCTCTGCAGCAGATCCTGAACTCCACGTTCTTGCAGAACAATGCAGACATTGTCTATTCTTTTCCTCTCCTCTCTGAAAAATAACAAATCATAGGAAGTGCTGGACACACTGCTTTAACCTCATTAGGTCACTTAGGAAACTCCCTTTCCCAATCATATTTTCCCCCCTCCATCAAGCCTCCTCTGAACCCAGAACATTCCTCACTTGTTTCCTCGTGGATCAGTTACTGAATGGCTTTTGAGAAAACTCCCACTGCTTCCCATCACTAAGAGTTACTCATTCCCACCTTTTCAGCTGTTAATTTTTGCCACTGATTCCATTTACTCAAGACATAAGTCATCCTAGCTGAATATCCAAATTAATCTAAAAACCTGGGGAAATACAACTTTGTAGTAGGGCATGGAAGGAGCCTTGATCTCAGGATTGTCTTCTAGACTCCTTTTCCCTGCTGTTCCAACCCTGTGCCCAGCTGCACTGCCCTTTTATTTATTTCATTTTTAAAAGGGAACAATTATGCCAAGGAGGCAACTAACAAGGACTGCTAAGTGCTATTTTCCTTTGCATTAGTCTGTGCTCCAAGAAAAGCCTGAGAAGATGGTGGTTGAACAGAACTGGGCTCCACACACTCCATCTCTGTTACCCATTTATCTCATCTTGCATGAAGAAGCCAGAAAGATGACAGATATGTGACCTCACTTGTGCTGAGCAGTTGCAGCAATACTTTACTGAAGCTTAGAATAAATTATCTAGAAAAACCAATCAATAAATCCATAAAATGTCTTCCGTCTACAGAGCCAAAGGACGTTATTTTGATAAAGAGAATTTTTAAGTGAACAAAGTCTATTTATGATATCAGATGATGCTGTTCATTTGTACCCATCTCCTCCCTCCTTCCAAAACCCCATTTCAGGCAGAGCACTCCAACTGCAACCCAAGAAGACAGAGACTTAAGTGCTGACAGGCCACAGAACTCACCTCTGGACCAGAGGCAACGGCAGGAAGTTGAGGGTGGACGTCATGTCCAGCCCACAGTCCAGCATGATGGTGGTGGATTTGAACTTGAGCACGTTGCATGGCAAGGTGGGATGTCCTGACAGGCAGTACTGAAAAAGAATGAGGAGTTAGTCCTGACCTTTACCAGCATGACCTTCTTCCCCTCCATCTGGGCACTGGGGAAGACACACCTCAAATCCTGTGTCCAGCTCTGGGCCCCTCGCTGCAAGAAAGACATGGAGGGGCTGGAGCGTGTCCAGGAAAGGGAACGGAGCTGGGGAAGGGGCTGGAGCAGCAGGAGCTGCTGAAGGAGCTGGGGGGGCTTAGTCTGGAGAAAAGAGGGATCAGGGGGGACCTTCTGGCTCTCTGCAACTCCCTGACAGGAGGGGGGAGCTGGGGGGGGATGGTCGGGCTCTGCTCCCAGGGAACAAGGGACAGAACAAGGGGAAATGGCCTCAAGCTGTGCCAGGGGAGGTTCAGGTTGGACATCAGGAGCAATTTCTTCATGGAAAGGCTGGTCAGACATTGGAAGGGGCTGCCCAGGGAGGTGGTGGAGTCCCCATCTCTGGAGGTGTCCAAGGAATGACTGGACGTGGCACTCAGTGCTCTGGGCTGGGTGACAAGGTGGGGATGGGTCACAAGTTGGACTCGATGATCCTGGAGGCCTTTTCCAACCTCAGTGATTCTGTGAACAGAGTGAACACCACTCCCCCAAACGTCTTTTTCCCCTTGTTCTTACACACAAGTTTCATACACACCAGAACAAAATCCCACTTCCCATGAATCCGTCTCACAGCCTGAGTGCTCCCTGAGATTTCCCCCTGGCAGGGTATCAAAGGGGCAGATTTTCTTCAGGCAGTTCTTCTGATCCCAAGGGTTGAGCGGATGGCAAAGCTCCCCTCTCTGATTTAGGACACATGTGGAATCTCTTTTTTTCTAGCAATCACCTATTTTCCCCCCAAATCCCAGGAAATCAGTTTCTTCAAAATTCAGTCCTCCTGGCAAAACCTGGCTAGAAAATTTGAAAACTGCTCGGAGTGCACAGGCAGGGAGAGAATCCCTGCAGGAACACAAGGGTTTTTCCTGTAAGAAACCTGCCTAAAAACAACCAGCACAGGTGCAGCAGCTCTGGGGCAAGTTCTCACCTGCTTTTTGTCTTGCTAAACACAAACAGGAAGCAGAAGGGACTGGACAACCCCACCTGAATGGAAGGGTTTGTGTAGCCAAATCCTAAAGGCTTTGGAAGCTTAATGAGCCGGTGAGCAGGTTATGTAGGGGGCACTTGAGCATCATTGAGATGCAGCCACCTCCTGTCTGGAGTGACAAACATTTAACGAGGCGCAGGAGCTCTGAATAAGAAGAGAACAGAAAGGTCGGCTTTAAAATGCAGGATTAGAAACCTAAAGGTCTGAGCAGAGCGTGGCCACCCCTGCGGGAGGGTTTCTCTGCTTGGAGGAGGGAATTTTCACCTGGAATCTCCCAGGTCTGGCCATCTGGCAGCTCAGCCACAGCTCAGGCAGTCAAACTTTAGCTTTTAAATTCAAGTTTTGGTCAATTAAGATGAAAAATACCACTTGTTTGGCCATGTAAGTGCACTACAAACAGACTCAGTCTTTTTCTAAGTCATTTATCCCACAGGCTTGTGTTCTGTACTTCCCTCTACCAACTGGAAAGAAGGGAGATTAATCATTTCATTTTGCACCTCTGCTCACAATAACCCAGGACTGCAACTGTCTGGATTAACAGCTCCCGAGGAGTCTATTTACATACATTCCACAAAAAACCTGCTTTAAATGATATTTAAATATTAAAAAGCTAAGTCCCGTATATTAAATTTCAAATATCACAAAGATTTTCCCTTTAAATTCACAAAGCCTTAATTATTAAGGAGCTACAGCACATTTTGCCTTTCTTTCAGCAAAGTTTAAAAATAACAAGCTGGTGAAGGAGTGAGGATACAAGGAAGGAATTCAGTTGGTTTAGTCACAAATGTAATATGCTCCTGTGAAATTAAGTTCTCACCAGAGCAGAACTTTGACAACTGAAGCTCTAAATCCAAGTAAATAGAAAGAAATGGAGGGAAAAATAAGGTCTATTTTTGCAGCTTTTAAACTATTGGTAATTAAAAAAGGCAATCAAATATCACCTCTTTTATCAGCAAAACATTTTCTTGCCTTTTTTTAAAAATCATGAGTAGGTTCACAACCCTGACACCTACGAACTAACTGGGAAATCTCCCTTTTTTCTTCTTTACAAGCAGCTAAAATCATCTCAATCTGTGGCTGTCAGGCTGTGGTAAATGGATTCCTGGGAATCAATGGACTCTTCCCACCAGCTTCAAGCAAACTGACAGAAAAATAAAAAAGCAATTCATATTTTCTATCCAGCTGTTTGCACAGCTGACATTTCTGGGCCTGCACCTCTGTTAGAATTTTAGATTAGGAACCCAAGAATTGGAGTGTTTGCACTCTGTATGTCCCCTATACACATTATAAATGTGGTTATTTCCACTCAGTTTGTACTTGTTACTGTTTAAAACAGATCCAGAGATCCCAGTCGTGTTCCTGACTGGATTAAAATCCAAGCTCTTTTTGCTCCAGGAGTTGTGTGCTTCCAGCTTTATTCCCTTACAGCTAAAGGCTGGTGCAGCCAACACATAAATGCCTCATCTCCTAACTAAAAAAAGTCATGCAAAAAAAGACACAAACCAGGCAAAACATGCCCAGCTCAGCTCAGAACTTTCCCGGCAGGGTTTGTAAATTGGATGGAAGTTTGACAGTGGGGCACAAGGAGCACAAATTGAGGGGTTAATTCCAGATGCTCAGGCCCTTGGAGGGGCAGGTCCTCCACAGAAATCTGGTTCCCACAGAGCATCCCTGGTGATCTCCTGCAGGTTAAAGCCAGTGCTCTGAATTCCAGCTGAAGGCAACAGATCCTGCAGTGCATTCCTCCAGTATTAGTGTCACGTGCCAGCTTAAAATCCGGGAGGAAATTAGGATCTGGAATTGCCCGAGCCAAAGCACGTTGGAATTTTTGGGAGTCTGACACTTTCACTGGATTCTGAATCAGGTCTGGAGTCACAAAAATCCCATGATGGTTTGGGTTGGAAGGGACCTTAAAGATCCTCTTGTTCCAGCCATGGACAGAGAATATTCCAGTAATCCATCACCTCTATATCTACCCTGATATTCCAAATTCAACCCAAATCTATGAGAAAAGAGGATGAAGACATCTATTCCTCCTCACACAATCCCGAGATTCAGACGCATCTCTGGAAAAATATAAGGTGAAGAATCTGATCTTATAATTCCCAGCCCCTAAATTGACACACAGGTCTAAAAATGCTCCAATACAGACTCCAGACAAGGCTGTAATTCCCTTCCCAACCCCTTCCCTCTCTCTGCCCCGATGTAAGACTCTAAATGTTAAAAGAACTCTGCATTTCCACTATGGTTTTTATTTAAAGATTTCCCACTTTGCTTTTTCCCACTGAATTATATCAGACTCTACAATCACATCCAGAGGGGTTTGGTTTTGCAGTGTTTGTGATATTCACCCATACCTTTATCCCACAGGTAAGATTATGCAGGATCAAGCTCTTTGCCCACCTGCCCATGGAATTAATTGTACACATTTCCACAGACAGTGATTTCCTGGAAGTCTCAAAACAGCCCAGAATCCAAGTTCACTTCTACGAGGCTTTGTCAAAACACACTGTGCAGCCTCGAAACCAAGAGACAATTTTTTACATTGAATAACGGTGTAATTTCAGGTTAAATAAATCAAGTGTTATCGTATTTTGAAACCTGCTAGGATTTTCACCTCCAGACCAAGAATTGCAGCACATTATGTGAAAGAGAAATTCGTCCTGAAAAATAAAGTGGTGTCTGAATCCAAGGTCTGTAGGAAGATTAAACAGTTAAAGAGGGAAATCTCGAGATACACCAATAACACGGGTAATGTATTTTCTGACAGAAGACTGCAATATCAGAACCAAAATCCTTGTCAGGAGCAAAGTGCACCCCTGGCAAAGCAGTTCCAGGCTGATTTTTTTTTTTTTATTACCTACTACCTGTACTATCACAGCGCCGATGGAAAACGACTTTATTAAGAACCACGAGGTTTTATTCCCATGGCTGGAGGAGCCCAGCACAAGCCACACGTGGAAAGCTCCACGCCAGGCTCGTATTTAAGGGCAGGAAGGCTGACAAACACCTTCTTCTCCTCCTGAATCCCACTGATATTTGATTCCATCCAACATCCTCGTCCCTCAGCCCCCTCCCCGCTTCCTCAACATCCCCCAGCTTCAGGATCGCCTCCCCCTCCGTCAGCCTCTCCCCTCCCCTCAGGATCACCCTCCCCCCTCCCCTCAGGATCATATCCCTCCTTCCTCAGCCTCTCCCCTCCCCTCAGGATCACCCCCTCCTCACCTCAGCCTCTCCCCTCCCCTCATTATCGCCCCCCCCAATCCCTCAGGGCCGCCTCCCCCCGGACCTCAGTTTCCCCTCACGCCCGGCGGGGTTGAGGCTGCGCAGCCCAGAGGCGACCCCGGTTCCTCCCTCGCCGCTGGGGGAAGGCCGAGCCCCCCTCCCTGCCCTCGCTGCCCCCCGCTCCAGGCACTCACCAGCTTCATCGCGTCCCCCGGTTCTATTTACCGGGACAATCCTGCCCCCCCCTTCCTGCCCGCCCTGCCGCGCCCCGCGGCATCATGGGAGACGTAGTCCCGCCGCCCTCCTCGCCCTGCATAACGTCATGGCCTCACCCCGAGGCACGCCGGGAGTTGTAGTCCGCCCCGCGCTCAGCCCCGCCGCCCCATTGGCGCTCCGCGCGCCCGCGGCACGCTGGGAGTTGTAGTCCCGGCGCCGCGGGTCTCCCCGTCACCCTGGGGAGGGGGGAACTACAAGTCCCAGGGTCTCACAGCTGCAGCAGGTGGGGGCTCGGATGTTGATATCAACATGGCGCTTGTCAGACAGACAAAGACAGTCGGTCTGGTGTGATTGAGCCAAAAAAAAAAAAAAAACCCCAGGAAAAAAAAAAAAAGAGGAGGGAGCGGGTTAGGAGGAGGGAGCGGCAGGAGGAGCGCCGGGCGGGGAGGGGGCCGTGTCCTCGGGGGGGGGGGGGCGGGGGGCCGAGGGATTTCCTCCCCCCTATTGTTCTCGCCCCTCAGCGCCCCCCGTTAATCCCCCCTCAATCTGGGGCGGGGGCGGGCGGGGGGACCCCCCCAGTCCCGCCGGTCCATGGTGAGGCGGCGGCGCCGGCAGCACCCAGAGGTGAGTGTGGACGGGGGGAGATGAGGGGGGGGGAGCGGCGGTGGCGAGGGGAGGGGGCGGGCGGGTGGGTGGGCTGGAGGGAGGGAGGGAGGGAGGGCAGCGGGAAGGGGTCCCCCCTCCCCGGCACCGCCGGGAGTCGCGCCGAGCCGGAGAGCGGGATGTGCGTGAGGGGGGCACCCGGGGGCGGCCGCGGGTGGGCAGGGGCAGCCCCTCAGCTCGGGCGGCGGAGTTGGAGCCGCGGCTTTGGGGGGCTCCGCGGAGAAGGAGGAGGAGAAGGGTGTCCCCGGGAAGCTGCTGCGGGAGGGCAGGGCAGCTTTGGGGGTTCGCTGTTCCTGCCGCTTATTTATTTATTCGAATTCCTCCCATCTCCTCCTGGGTGTGGGGGGCACGGGGCGGCGGCGGCTGAGCCCTCCCGGCCTGGGTGGGTGCTGGGGCTTGGGGGGTGTCCGGGGGTTTGTTCGCCGCGGAGTTTGGGGCCGGGCTGGTGCGACCCCCGGCGCTCCCCGTGCCCGGGACCCCCGGGGGCGGCAGGGGAAGGAGGGAGAGGCTCCGACCCTGCGGGGATGGAGCCCTGGCTGGGGGCGTGCGAAGGCTCGGGGGGCTCCTTTTGGGAGTTTTGTGGAGGTGGATGGACGGGGGGTCGGGGCTGCCCCAAACCCCGCTGGTTGCGGGATCTGTTGCAGCTCCCGAGGCTTTGGGGAGGGTTTTCGGGGAGGGCGAAGGCGTGAACCCGAAAAGGGTGTCTGGTTGCTGGAGAGTTTTAACGTGGGGACGGGTTGGAGGGGGGGAGGAGGAGGACCCGGAGGGAAGTCATTCCCAAAATGTGCGAGGAGAGCTTGGGTGGGGTGTCAGACGCTTGTTTATTTTGCACTCCTTGGGAAGAGGTGAGGGGGGGGGGTGGTAAAATGCTTTTCTAGCCGTGCCTGGGATCTTTTTTTTGGGGGGGGGCGGGGAGGGGGAGAGGCAGAACAGTGTGTTTGACCGCAGGAGCGGTCGGGGGAAGCGGCTGGGAATTCTGCTGGAAGTGTTTTCCTCTGCTCCGGGGTTAAAACTAAACAAGAGCCGAGCGTATTTAGGTGCAGAACACACACCCGAGCCAGACCCCGCCGAGTTCTTCGACCTCAGTTTTGTCTGATGGGTTCTTTTTTTCCCGGTTGTTAGAGCGTTTCTTGGTATGTTTGCAAAGCACTTCTTCGGAAGCATTTCGTTCTTTGCGATAGGTCTGGAAAAGGCTTGCTTGCATGTGCTGGTTTTTTTTCCCAGTTCCTTCGTGCTGGGGACAAAAAAAAAATGCTCTTTTGGGGGGTGGGGAAGGAAGAAGGAAGAGGAAATGAAGGTTTAAGCATGTTTGTGGAGTCAGGTCTCTCTCAATTTGTTCTGCTCAAGTAACAACTGGGAGTGTGACTCGGTGGCTTTTAAGTGCAGAACGTTTATGAACAAAAACTGCGAGGATTTAAACTTTATAGGGAGGAAAGTGTTAAACTGATGGGAAGGCACGCGTTTGAGAGAGCGGATCTCAGAGACACTACCTACGTGCCCCTGCTTCAAACTAGTGGGGATGGAGGGGAAAAAAAAAAAAGAAAACCGGTGGGGAAAAAAACCCAAAACAACAACCCTACAATTTGCATGAATGATGCCACGTAAAATACCGGAGCGAGGAATTGTGCTCTGCAGACGAAAGCCTGAAGTCCCGTGATATGACTCGCTCATTTCTGCAGGGCTCATCAGGTACAGGCTCTGCTTCCTTCCTGGGATGGTGCAGCTGGCATTTGATTTCCTCCATGGATGGTAGAGGAGGAGTCCTGTGCAGGTTTTTTTCCCCGAGATGATTGCATTTTCCTTGGCCTTGCTGTACCCGGCCTCATTAGTAGGAGCTGCATCTATATTTATTTACCATTATACCGTGTCCCTTGGGAAGTGGGGTGTAGTTTGGAGTAGGTATATATGGATTTATCACTCCTAACGTTTTTTTTTTTCCCTCCTGTCGTGGTAGGACCAAATCTGTCAACAGCGGAGAACAAACTTAATTTATTTCTGCGTTTTGCGTCTCCCTTTTTGCCATTTCTCTCCCAAATTGCTGGAGAAAACATCTCGGAGATGCAGACAGGGGAGAAGGAAGGAAGGGATGGAAAATGTTATCTGTGCAGGGATGTGTTTGTTGTCTGCATGTCCTGAGAGCAGCGGGCTCGGAAAGGGCAGGGTTTGATTCTGCAGGCGAAAACGGGGGTTTGGGAGAGCTCTTTTTTCCCCTTTTTGTGAGGATTATTCTTCACCCCCACGACGGCCACAACTTTTTGTGTCTGGTTGACAGAATTACCCAACGAGCCTGGGCATGAGGCTGGGAACGAGGAAACTCGAGTTTCACTCAGCCTGTGCTTCCTCCCCTTCTCACCAGAACAGGCATCAGCGTTTTTCCTCCTGTGTCATCCCACTGTTGGGAGCAGGTCTAGACGACATTGTGGTGTGCAGGCTGCCAGCTGGGCTCCAGGAATGCTATCCTAGGTGAAACAGCAGGATTTTTAGGGAGGGGTAAGGAAACCTAGAAGAAAACCCCGCGTGGATGAGGCCTGGTTATCTCCAGAACTGCTTTGCTGAGCAGTCTCAAGCGGTTCCTTTCATTTGTTGACCTTTCTAGACAACGTGCATCTCTCTGGAATTGTGATTCTAATAATTCCATGGAATTTGTGCCCGGTGTCAGCTGCAGAAAGCTTTTTTTTAAGGCAGTTTCAGCGTGAGTCTTACTGGTCTCTTTTAAAAGGATATTAAAAGTTCAAGGCTATCCAGTGTTTTGAAAATTAAATTATTGTGAAGTGTTTACTTTATAGTGATAATCCGTAAGTTCATGGGAGTGTTTGGTATGTTTTCTCATCGCTGTCTGGAGCTGGGAAAACAGTGGGGTTCTGACATTCACTTTTAAAGCTAATTTAATTTTTAATAAAATGAATTTTTAATGAGCATGACTGTCAGGAATTGTTCTGTCGTTAACTTCTGGGACTGCTCTTTTTTTTTTTTTGTTGTGTGTCAGTGGGGCAGTGGTGAAATTTGGGTCTTTGGGCGGGGAACTGGAAGAATTAATGAAACTGAGCCACGAGAAAGGAGGAGGCTGTGCTGTCCCTTTCACCAAGGGATCTCTGAAGATGTTTGGTTTAATGTGCTAGAAAATCAATCAATTTTCATGGAACAACAGCTCATTTTAATCTAAAGAAAGCAGCTTGAGCTTCACAGTGATTTCTGTGCAGAGCTTTTAGGGACATTGCAGGATGACACGTTACAGTGTTGGGATTCTGTGGCAAATATTTTTCTTCTTCTTCAAAGTTTAGGATTTGAAATCAAAATGCTGTCAGGTTAGGAGTTTTACTGCAGAAAAAAGATGCCTTTGTTCCTCCTGTCGATAACTTTGTGCAGCTCTGACAGTTCTAAAGTCCCTGAAGTTGATTCCATGTTATACTGATTTTAGCGGAGCAGGGATTGGATTTTGCATCCACGTCCTTGTGGGATTGAGCTTTAATTATACCTGTGCTGATAACTTGATCTTGTGGGTTATCAATGCAGTGAGACTGATACTGTGATTACAGCGGGATTTTTGGGAGGTAAGGAGGAGAATTTGATTTTTTGGGGCGTCTAACTCATATCTCTAAAGCTGGTTTCATACATAAGGTTAGTAATAAACTGTGTTTATCATTCTAATATTCCCATATTGAGTAAAGCTCCCTTCTGACTCCTGTTAAATGAGGATGGCTGGGGAGCAAAGTGTAGGAAGAGTTTGTATGTGAGCACTCAGTCATGCAAAGGGGCGTGTGGAGGCTGTGAATGCAATTCCCAGTGTTAATGCTAAAGATAAGTGTTTTGACAAATGCTTTTAATTTGGGGAACAATGCAAGCAGGAATGACAGGATATGAAAGGAAAGTGTTATTTTTCATCTGGCAGGTGGCAAACCAAGGTGTAGAGGGATTAACTTGCCCAGGCTCCTGCACGGAGTCAGCAGCAGAACTCGTAATCAGTCTCTGATCTCAGGGGTTTGCCAGGGCTTAAATCAGGGTTTTTCTTCCTCCTCTCATTAATTGGCCAACTTTCACATTTTGCAAATAACATCTAGAGATTATTTCTCTTTCCTCCAGTTTCAAACTTTAGAGCCTGGAGGGTTGTGGGTTTGTTTTTTTTTTTTTTTTTGTTGTTTCGTTTGGTTGTTTTTTTTTTCATTTTCACCGAAGCCTTGAAAACACAAGGTTGGAGAACTTGATCTGAGCAGCACCTCCCTGCCATATGACACTATCTCGAAACAGCCCCTGACAAATGAACCCTCTCATTGAAATCATGTGAGGAATTTTATTACTCAACTCTGAAGATCTTCTGGAGGAAAGGAGGTTGCAAACTATTAACTCCGTGGTCTTCATTGCAGGCTGGCAGATAAA